GTACCGATAACAAACCTGATATGGTGGATGGAATTGCACAGCAGAGATACATAGGGGGGGGGATTTATCAAAACTGAAGCAGAGAAAGCTGGAGCAGCTCTGCATGGCAACCAATCAGCTTCTCTCTTCAGTGTGTTCAATTAAGATTTGAAAATAAAAGAGTGAAGCTGATTGGTTACTGGGAACACCTGCTCCAGATTTTCTGTGCTCCAGTTTTGATAAATTCCCCTCATAATATATTGCGGTGGGGAGAAAATCCTGGAGTTGAGCTTTAAAATGCACAGTGCTTGACAATGGTGGTACTGTGTGAAACACAAATGAACAGTTAAAGGAGAACTATGGAGGTGAGCGATTTTCACTCGCCTCATAGTTAGAGCCGACCTGTGACAATGAGACTGTCACACGTCGGCTCTATTGATCAGGAAGTGAGCGAAAAAGTCAGGTCTGAGCCAAAATCTGGTGTACTGCATTTTAAAACATAGAAATAAAAACCTGACAGCGGTTCTAATCCTTGCCTACTCTACCGCCAAAAAATAGCTTTACATATCCTAAAGCTGGGCATACACGGTTAGAATTTTGTTAAAAAATAAAAAAATCAGTTTCGGAACGTTCTTAATAGCTAATGGGATCAATTTGACAAAAAAAAAAAATATCAAAAAGGAGCAAGATGATTTTCATTCAGGAAACTCCATTATCTGTACAAAATAAGTCAAGGCAACTGGACTTGCTGTATTTTCTTGAAGATGTTTCACTGGTCATCCAAACAGCTTTCTCAATTCAGAATGAAAAGCTGGTTGGATGACCAGTGAAACGTCGTCAAGAAAAATCCAGAAAATCCAGTTGCCTTGACTTTTTTCTTTTTACAGATATACCATGACCTGGATGAATGAGAACCTTCACAGACAGGAAACTCCATTCAATCCAAAATTAAATGTTAACATCAAACAAAATTTCAAAAGACACTCAACAAGTCTCAGATGGAATTATCTAATGTACTGGTGAGAATTTTTTCATATGAATGCTTATATAAAAATCTACCAGTGTATGGCCAGCTTCAGTATCTATCAGCAAAGTTTTCCTTTCAGTCACGAATACCATATATACTAGACTATAAGCCGAGATTTTCAGCCCATTTGTTTTGCTGAAAAGTGCCCCCCCTCGGCTTATACTCGAGTCAGCGTCATTTCTTCTTACTTACCTCGCCGAGCGTCGCGTCACTGCTGCTCCGGTGGGCGACGCTCCGAGCGGGAGGGTCTTCTGAGATACTACAGGAAAACACTTCCTCTGAACACAATGAAGCATTAATGACAACAGCTTACACATCACACTAATACAGCTGACACGAAATGCCTTGCCATACCCGCTTGCCTTGTCTGCTATATTTAGTACCCACTTACCTGGGTTATATTTACACATGGCCTGGGCACATTACACACAAACACAGAAATGCTACATTCTGATATTCATTTCAAATGCTTCAACAAAGATTGCATTACAAATGCTCATTTTACATCAATGTATATGTATGTATGTATATATATTGAAAACCAAATAAGATACATTACATCGTGGAATTTATCATTGTAGAAAAATATACATGTGTCATTTCTAAATTATTGCTTGTATAATTATAAATATACAAAGTATATTTAGCATCTAATCCATATAGCAATATTATATCTAAATATAGCTTCTTTGAATATAAAGTTATTAAAATGAACCCTTTGGTTCCAAAGAGGCTTTTGTTTTTCTTTCCTCTTTTGCTGAAGGGACACACTGCAGAACAAACAACGTGAAATAAAAAATACATACGGCTGATTCTATAATGACAATGAAGGTTTAGGCATATTCACACAAACGGCAATTTAAATCATAAGTTTGTAGTTGCAAACGTAGTGCACAACAAATATGAAGCTTTGCCCATTTAGAAGCAGAAATCTGTTTTAAAGGGGTTGTCCACTAAGCAAATTAAAGTACTTCACATGCATGAGCCCCCCCCTCCCCCTCACCCCCATTCAGTAACAGATGGCCTAACATACAAGCAAAGATGCCGTGGGCATGTGCCCATGTGCTCAGATTTTAGCAGTAGGGTCACAATAGGTAAAGCCAGGCATTGCAGTCGGATCAATTAGGCCTTGTTCATATGTGCGGCCACCACACAGTTAAAAAAAAAAATGTGGTTGATCCACGTTTTTACTGCTCCCCGCTGAAAATATAGCATTGCAGATACAGTGCTGTATTCATTGCAGTGGCTACAAAGCTGCTAAACGTGACCAAATAAGGTGCCACGAGACAGTAGAAAATGTGGTTGGATCCATCTTTTACCGCACCCTGGCTGCCCACTGAAAAAAATCACATTGCAGGAGGGCAGTGCAAAAATTAGACAACATTTTGCTTTCAGCAGTGCCACTTGCCACCATTGAGGTGAAAGGGGCTGCGCTTGGCATGCGTTAGCAACGCAATAGTTCTATTTAAAATGCTCCATGGGATGAAAAAAAAAAAAACAGGCTTTCAGGAGGCAGCAGTATTACCTCCTGAATGCCCAGATGTCTCTGCTCTGTGGATCCACTGCAGATTGCTTTCTAAAAGGTACAGTGCCTGTGGAGGCCTTAAAGAAGAACTTTGGGGGGGAAAAATGTTAGTAACCCATGCAGTGGGGCTACCCCCGCACTGCAAGGGTTAAAAGAGAACTATGGGGTAACCTTTTTATCCCATAGTTCTCTTAAGGGTCGCGGGAGGACATATTCTAAAGTCCTCCTGTGACCCAAAGCTAAGTATATAGTGAGCTACAGCTCGCTATATACCGAGAGCGACGCAGCCGGGACGGATCCAGACAATACTGTCGAGGTCACCCCAGCTGGCTGATTGACAGCGGGCTCTGCCTATCTAGAGTCAGCACTGAAGGATCGGAGAGGGGGAATCCCTGCGGGGAGCGGTGACTGACATGATTGGGAAGTGAGCGAGCAACGGTATGTGTTCGCTCACTTCCCAATCAATAGAGCCGATGTGTGACAGTTTAATTGTCACACGTCGGCTCTAACTATGAAGGCGAGTGAAAATCGCTCACCTCGTAGTTCTCCTTTAACTGTTCATTTTTGTCTAGGTGCTAAAAAAAAAATTTATGCTCACCCAATCATTCGAGTCGGCTTGCTCTTAGATTGTTCCCCCTCCTCTGCAGCTGTCTAAGAATCCTTGTCATCACGTTCTATAAAAGGGTATAGACGTGAGGACCTGAGGAACATTCCATCTGTGCAGCAGAGGAGACATGTTTTAGCGACTGAAAAAGCAGGGAGTCGGCTTGGCAGTTTGGGGAAGTATAGCTTTTTTTTTTTAGCGCCTAGACAAAAACAAGCAGTTCGCCCTTGCGATGTGGTGGTAGCCCCACTGCAAGGGTTAAAAAAAGAAAAAAATCCCCACAGTTCTTCTTTAAACAGCATGGTGCTTTGCGAGTTCAGCAATATCCAAATGGCTGTAGATAGGTCATCCAGCAAAAGTAAAGCATGTTATACGAGCACTTCTAATGCATATGAGGTGGCGCCATCATGCTACCAAATGGAGAGGTCAGATGTAGGAATTCATGGTTTACCCAGCATGGAAAACCCCTTTAAACTAAAAAACATAATGCAGGTAAGAAGTATTCAAAAAGGAACACAAAGCAGAGAGTTACAATATCAGTCAGTGGACATGAAACATTGACAACAAAAAAACAAGAACAGCAGAGCGGGTGCTACTATCTGACAGCATAAGGTTCTTCCTATCTATTCCTTTTGCCAAGCAAAGAAGGACATTCTGAGCTTAGCTGGATTCTATGTGATAATTTAAACAAAGAACAAATTGCAGCAATCAAAGCACCTCTCTGATACCCTTAAAGTCCGGTCAGACTGAAAGCACAATTCGTCTGTTATGGGGAAACTGATCCAGCAGTGTGATTGGAAGGGCATCAGTAAAGCTAAACAGAATAAGTTACATATTAAACAAAGAAGAATGTAAATGATCATTGCAGCGGCATAAAGCGCACTGTCACGGCTGACTCTTATCGATCCCACTAATCTTTACTGCAGGCGGGAACTCTGTGAGCTAGATTATTTTTGTGTAGGCATGCGTTAGCTTTTTTATTTTAATCCCATCTGGATAATCCCAGGAGCCAGATGGTTTATGTAAAAAAAACAAAAAACACAAAAACATCCGGAGAAAAAAAAAAAAAATGTCAGCACCTAATGTGATACTTCAAAGCCCAATTGACCAGTTTAAATCATCTAAATACATTTCAAATGCATCAACACAAAAGGTGTGCAAAGTCTTATAGTTCATTCTTTTTTTTAGTAAGCAGGCACAGCCTGGGTAGAAAAGCCTGCCCCTTGCCAGCATGCTGCTCCTTACTGATTGGAGAGCTCTAGATCCGACTCAGCATGTTAGAGCTCTGCAGAGAGACCACTGCTTCCACACAGAGAGCAGGAGTTCTTCTCCACAGCTTGCTGGCAGGGGACAGGCTTTACTGCTCTAATACTTTGCACACCTTTTGTTTTGATGCACGCGGAATGTATTCAGATGATTTCAACTGAAGGTTCAGTTTAGTTTTAATGTTGTCAATGGCTTTAATATTGCGGTCAATAAAGGCCCATGGCTGCTGGTTCCTAACTGGGACAAACTGCCACATCAATTATATGATGATTTAACCTTTTTGCTTTAAATTGTAATTGGTGATATATGTTGTATTGTCAACCACCAAATAGTGTTTACTACAAGTACCTATTTAGTGTTTTAGAAATCAGTGTCCAACACTGAACCAAATGCCACCAGGGAAAAAGATGTTGTTTATTTTATTAAATGATCAATATTTTATTAAATGATCAATGATCAATAGAAAATCATTCTATTGAACACACACTGCCGCTGGAAGCAGAATACAGAAAAAAACCACCTGAACAATGTACAATTTCCTAATGTTCAGGTGATCACGTATGAGAAGTATGTGTGCTTACATGGTTACGCTGCCTGGCAGTAAATAAGGTGCACAATAATCTCATTCTAACCTCTAGCTGATTTCATTGTATGCATCTTTTTAGGTATTGAGCTCAGTTTTGTAACACAGATCTTTAATATACCGCAAATGTTTGGTCTTTGCCTTATTTGGGGCTAGAACGATGTCCAATGTATACAACATTTTACCTTGCACGGACAGTGAACGTGGTAACACAAATTGCATGGATTGGCCCTTAGAGGTGCACCTTTGCTATTGTATGTATAGCAATGCACGACTGACACACCAAAATTATGCTCTCCTGCTTAGGGAGGCTGATTCACTCAGGAGCTGGTGAAGGAAATTTTAAGTCTCAGAGGCTGATTTGAGCAATCAGTGCGATAAAACACAAACCACGCATGGAAGTTTATGCTAACTGAGGCTTTCTATCAGGTAAAAAATGAGTTCCATCACCAAAGGCAATATGCTGCTGTCTGATGTCCTGTTGTGGATGACGGGAATCAAAGCGCTGTCTAGGTCATTTAGGTACACTTGCGGGAGAAGCTGACCTCCTGACCCCGCTCGATACTCCACCTAAAAACAAAGGACAAGATAAATATACCAGTAGCGAGATACAGAACTTTTCAACATAAGTACTCACACATAAGAATACAAGCAAATGGTACAAAGACGACAATCTGCTTTTATGAGCATAACGTAAAACTAAATTCAACTGGATGTCCTTTATTTTGCTAAAAGACTATCACAAACAACTGCCATGTTTTGTTTTTTTAAAGGAGAACTATGAGGCGAGATATTTTCACTCATCCTCATAGTTCTGTGACAGTTTCATTGTCGCACGTTGGCTCGGTCAGCTCAATAGATCGGGGAGTGAGCGAACACATACCGGCGCTCGCTCACTTCTCGACCCTGTCCCTGCAGAGAGCCGTGACTGTCACCCATGGCTCCCTGCAGGGGACTGGCGGGGGAGGGGGCGGGTACAGCTGGCTCTGCCTCTAGATAGGCAGAGCCAGCTGTCACTCACACAGCTGGGTGGATCTCGACAGTAATGTCGGGATCCGTCTTGGTTGCGGCCGTCTCAGTATATAGCGAGCTGTAGCTCGCGATCTACTGAGCTTTGGGTCACGGGAGGACGCTAGTTTATGTCCTCCCGTGACCCTTAGGAGAACTATGGGGAAAAACACTTACCCCATAGTTCTCCTTCTTTAAGATAAGAGGTTTGTTTTCATAATTTTTGCATCTTAGTACTGCTGATTTCCTCCACTTTCCCCATCTACATGCACGGACAGTGCTGGCTGCACATCATTCTTAGTGCCTGGACTACACCACGCCTGCACAATGTGTATTGACATGGTAATTAGCAGTCACCACCAAAGGAGCATTGGAGAGAGCGACAACACAAGAGCTAAACTGGAAAACAGTTGTCACTCCATAACAAAGGTTGTCTTATTGGAGATCCTAATGGCAGGATTTCCAGACATTCTTTTAATAGAGAATGAAAAGGTAGTAAGATTGAAAACAACTTGTTGCATGCACCATAAAATGCAAGTCCATTGAGACACATAGGACATCTTTAACCTTCTGATTATACTGTCACCTACATGAGGACTGGAAACTGGCAAAACAACTGTGGGCCAGCGAGGATAACCCCTTCTATGACCAGCATGGCTTAGTTTTGTAACAAAGCAGTATTGAGAGAATGGTGATAAACACAGATGTGTCCCTCAATGGACTCCAAGAAAAAACATTTTCAGTCCATTGAGGGGCACAGAGGTCTTTAAGCTTTGGGAAGTCCAAAAGCAGTCCAAGTGAGTAGTTAGCAACACAACAAACAAATGCTTGCAGGTTAAAGAAAAGAACAGAAAACCAGGGACTACCTGCAGCTCAAAGAACCACCTGAAGGACCTTATACTAGATTCTGGCATCAGATGAGGTCAAAATGTCCACTTAGTAGAACTTAGGATTGTGTGAAGAGGAGACCAGGTTGCAGTCTTTTTAAATCTGAGAAACAGTTGTTCTAAGCTGAAAAGTCCAAGAATCACTCACAGATCTAGTGGAGTTGACCGGAAAAGTGGAGCTCTATCCTTAAGACTATAGGCTTGGATTAAGATGGTAGAAGAGAAGCCAGTGCACTACATAGAGCATTTCCAAGGAGTCTTAACAGGTTGGTGTATCACATTTGCCTGGGACAGTCTGGAGCAATTTGATCACCAGCATCAGAAGTTTGAGAAGAAAAAAGGCATAGATCAGGCTGTACTGATCCCACTAAACCACCAAAGCATCCACTGCTTTCTCTAGGGGATGCCTGTATCTGGAGACATACTTGTCAAATTTGTTGTTGAATCTGGAGGCCAGGAGGTCCACATTCAGCATCCCCATCTGCGTCACAGGACCTGCAAGCAGGAGCAGCAGTGGGGAGATGTTTTCTTATGCTGTATGGTGGGAAAGAGAGCAACACTGCACCCAGAGGATAAAGTCAGCGCTAGGGATACACCAATTCCATTTTTCAGCATTGAGTGCAAGTACCAATATTTTTTTTTCCGATAACGGCATCCGTTGGCCCGGATTATCAGGAAGCTGGGCGGCGGGTCATGACCCGCCGCCCAGCTTCCTGATTGCCTAGGAAGCCAGGCTGCCTAGCAACAAGTGAAGCCGGCTTCCTAGCCAATCAGGAAGCCAGGATGGCGGGTTATGACGTGCTACCCATCTTCTTGATTGGCTAGGAAGCCGACTTCACTTGTTGCTAGGCAACCTGGCTTTCTTACCAATCAAGAAGCCGGGAGGTGGGTCATGACGTGCCGCCCTGCTCCATGCTCCCTCAACGGCACTGCCAGTCAGAGGGAGATCTCATTCTGACCGGAAGCTCCGGTATCAGGGAAGGTATTGGAGCATTTGGGCGAGTACGAGTACTCGCCCAAATACTCGGTATTGGCAACGATACCAATACTGCTATCGGTCTCGGTACATCCCTAGTATTAACCCCCTTCCACAGCAAGCTGGCAGGAAAAGGGAATAATGGCGCTCTATGAAAAATAGGTAGCTTTCTATGTTTGACACTCACTATGTGAGTTTTCAGGAGATAGGGCAAGGGCTCAAACAGCTCTGGACCTGAAGAGCGCTCTGCAGAATGAAGTCTGGAACACTCTCTGCGCAGTCCTGAGGGGTCTGGACACAATACATAAAAAGTTAGTTTGAGGAAGACCTCACTCCAATCAAAAGAGACAAAGCTCCGGCAGCACCATGTAGAACCTTCATTGAAGAATAGAAAAACATCCATCTTCCTAAGACACTAACAAGAAAAATGAGGCATGCTGGTAGTAGGAGGGGTTCAGTTGTGTAGCTTTCAGTTTGGAAATGGCAGTATAACCTGAACGCTAAAGACTTCTTTGTGTCCCTTAATGGACAAGAAAAAAATGACAATATCATTTTAAAAGGACGCTGGACCAACCTAAAAACTATTTAATAACTTGCAATGTGCCTCTGAACTGGCTACAAATTTGACTAATCAATTCCATGCATAGCCTCTTCCCCTTCTGCCATGTTATAACCCTCTCCTCTTCAGTGTCTAATTACTCTCTGTGCTGGCCCAGCATCTCCGCTTCACTTCCTACATAATGCTAGGGGAATAGAATAGACTAGCACTAGACAACCCTGACACTCCAGCTGTGATCAAACTACAAATCCCATCATACCTTTGCTGCTGGAAATCACGCTTACTGCTGTAAGTTTTGCAATGCCTAATGGGACTTGTAGTTTTTCCACAGGTGGAATGCCAAGGATGTCTATCGTGGTATAGGGTGTCACTTAAGTGATAGCTCGGAGTCTGCTGGGACTGCTGATATCACATCCAAGATGATGGCGTCCAGCAGCTGTCTCAGGGTTTTTGCATGTCTACACAAGGGAAGCTTTTACAGGTAAATAACATGTCTAATATGTTAAATGCACATAAAATCCTGTGGGAAGATTGTTTTTAAAATGATTCGTCTGGTGACCGGGTATCTTTAAAATGTATGTGAGAGTGTATTTCGGTATAGGTGTATTTTAACCACGCTAACCTACTTCACTGTTGCTATTGACTATAGTACACTACTGTAAATCGCATTATGTTAAATCAGCACAAGCAAGGAGCACGCATCTTTGTTGACAGTTTCTATATGAATGTGGGTGGTAGTGACTGCAGCTCCCAGCAAAGCACTGGGATTGACAACAGAAACGGTTAGGACTGCATGATGACAATACTTTACATTACAGCTGTCTGCAAGCGGCTCCCACTGTCAGTCTCAGTGCTTTGCTGAAAGCGGGGCTGTAATAAAGTATAGGGATACCTGTCAAACAAATAACTATATTTGTCATCAATTTATATAGACAGGCCAGTAAATGGAAAATGCTACCGTCTGTGTAAATAGACATTAGGTGTAAACCAAACCCCAACATCTCTCCAGGCTGTACATACCTCACACAGAAATTCCCCAACTAAACACTGAATACTGGATCACATAGAAAGTTCTAATAGTGTAAAATCTTTAATTTAATGAGGAAAAACATCCAGACATACACCGATCAGCCATAACATTATGACCACCCGCCTTATATTGATTAGGTTCCCCCACCAAAACAGCCCTGACACATCGCGGCGTGGACTCCAAAAGACCTCTGAAGGTATGCTGTGCTGAAGGTGTGAGTTGGGGTCTCCATCTTGTTTTTCCAGCACATTCCACAAATGCTTAATTGGATTGAGATCTGGAAAATTTGGAGGCCAAGTCAACACCTCAAACTCGTTGTGTTCCTCAAACCATTCTTGAACCATTTTTGCAGTGTGGGAGGGCACATTATCCTGCTGAAAGGGGGCCACTGCCATCAGGGAATACATTTCCATGGGTGTACGTGGTCAGCATGAATGTTTAGGTAGGTGGTACATGTCAAAGTAACATCCACATAAATGACAGGACCCAAGATTTCCGAGCAGAACATTGCCCAAAGCATCACACTGCCTCTGCCGGCTTGCCTTATTCCCATATGCATCCTGGTGCCCATCTCTTCCCCAGGTAATCAACAAACAAGCAGCCAGCCATCCACATTATGTAAAAGAAAACATGATTCATCAGACCAGGCCACCTTATTCCATTGCTCCATGGTCCAGTTCTAATGCCCATTGTAGGCGCACAGTAAAGACGGGTCAGCATGGGCACCCTGACCAACAACTGTGATGCACTGTGTGTTCAAACACCTTTCTATCAAAACCAACAGTAACTTTTTCAGCAATTTGTGCCACAGTAGCTCTTCTATTGGAGTAGACTACATGGGCCACCCTTCACTCCCCACATGCTTCCAATAAGCAAGCAAGACCCTGTCGTCAGTTCAATGGTTTTCCTTCCTTGAACCACTTTTGGTAGGCCCTGACCACTGCAGACCGGGAACATTCCACAAGAGCTGCAGTTTTGGAGTTGCTCTGACCCAGTCTTCCAGCCATCACAAATTTGGCCCTTGACAAAAGTCTCTCAAATCCTTACACTTGCCCATTTTTTCTGCTTCTGAAACATCAACTTCAGGGACAAAATGTTCACGTTGCCCAATATATCCCACCCACTTCCAGATGCCCACAAAATAAACAATCTTATTTACCTCACCTCTTAGTGGTCATGCTGCCATAGCTGATCAGTGTATAACAACTCACATTTGTGAGGCACTTGCCAGCACTATATTACAAGAATACGTGTTTGCCCCACAGTTTTGCTTGTGGCTTCCTTGGCTCCCACGCTTTGTCCGCCAATAAACTGGGACTCTGACTCACCAGATTACAACCCAGTTATGTGGCTCAGCTTCACCCCAATGCGTTTCATCAAGAATTACTTTTTCAAGTCTTTTAGCGCTTGAATTGGTAGTAAATAGAACCCAACGTGTTTGTTTCTCTTTGCACTAGATACAATTTGGAGGATATATTTATAAGACCACTACATTTCATTTATATGAAAAGTTATAATATGCATCTCAGGCTCATGTCACACTATGCAGGACAGGCGGTGCAAGGACATACACATCCTTTTGCACATTGCTCCCTAGTTGACTGGATGAGCGAGGCATTGTTCTTGCACTATCAATTGACATTATGAAGCGTTTCCATAAGTGAGATGGTGACGTCTCGTTCATCCTCCCGGTAACAGAATGAACATTTTCACTGCACTTTATACCAATCCTTTTGCTGTCAAGTTGTCGCCAGCGACAGGAAAGTGTGACATTGGCCTTAGGCTGGACTTTCACTTTTAAAAGTATAAAGTGGAGTACTGTTTTGCCTGGATAGTTGTACACGTAACTGAATCTACACTAAATCCAGTACTTCAGACAATCTTTAGAAAAAAAATAATATCAGATATGATTATGAAGAGGTACCATGTCAATATCCATAGAGACTCGCAGTCCTATCTTGTTCATTCCTCTGTTCTTCAAGGTCTTCATATGCGGACACAGAGCAGCTCCACAGGCCGTGGCAATTTCTTTAGCAAACTGAGTATGAGCTGTACTGCTGGCTGGTTCACGCTCTCCAAGGAGATAAAACACCTAAGAAAAAGAAACAGAGTAAAAAAAAAGACAATATGCTTTAGCCAAATAACGGGCCAATGGCCAAAACTATGCTTACTCTATTTCACTTAAATCTTATCTGACAAATGCCACGGACTCCCGACAAAGGAAGAGACACTTGTTGACCATACTCTGGTAGTTCGTTTTTTCTTGTTCAGAGTCGCGGGCTGGGTGATAAAAAACACGCGATTCTCCATCCATGCGCTACAGTGTGGATGGTGGAATCTCCCCTGCCAGCTATAGTATTCTGACAGTTGGCACCCATAGCGGTCAGAATTCTAGAACAGTGACTGAGCTGACAATTTTCAGCTCAGCTCCGACAGAAGTCAATTCAAAAAATATTGACTTTTGCCAAACAGAGCAGGGCCAGCCAGAGCTCGAATCCGGCAATACACTGCTCGAATTTACAGCAGTGTACGGCCAGCTTTTAGCATAAAAAATCTTCCTCTGCCCTTCAAACTGTAGTACAAAAATGACGCATAAATCCAGTTGCAAATGGCAACTTAAAGGGTAATTCTACTTTCCCAGGCAACTTTTGAGAAAATTGAATTACCCCCACCAATCTGCCCCCTCTCCATAACCCTCACCCCCTGCTCTCACCTTAGAGCGAACACTCCTTCCTCTCAGCGGCGGCCACCGTCACCTGACCATGCTGACCAATGAGAAGCAATCTTGCTGTGTACAGTGTACGAAGAGTACACCTGAAACAATGTTGCAGGCTTCTGATCATTGTTGGAACGATCAGAAAACCTTTAGTGACATCTGATCCTGAAATGCTGCAGGATCAGTGTCACTAAGGTTATTATTGGCTGTTCTTCAGTTTGAAGCAGTCTAATATGACCAAAAATGTATTACATTATCAAGCAGTAATAGTGAGATTCATTCACAATGACTGCTTGATATAATTAATTAAATAAATGTTAAAAAAAATGTGACAAATAAAATAAAAGCGTAAAAAAATAAATGTAACAAATAAAAATGATGATATATTTAAATATATTTATATACTGTCATTAATATAAAAATTAACCCATTACAATGAAAATCTGCAACTGATCTGCAGATTTGTTTTTCACTCTAAGGGGTTCATTTTTTTTAATTTAACCCCCTCATCAGAGTGATGCTCAACATATGTCACTGTCACTAAGTGTAACACTTAGTGACAGTGACATTGTATGCCAGGTGACCACTTTTAGCTGATAGAGAAAAAAAGATTAAAATGTTAGGTTTTAGTTTTAGGCCGAGTAGTACAGAAAAATGTCTAGAATCCTAGGGATGTGAGGTCTTTCCAAATAAAGGACAAATAAATGAATGTATTTAATGCATTTTTTTTAAAAATACTACAAAACAAAAACGGGGGAAACTGAGTTTTCTTTACGTTTTTTCCTCAATTTTAATATTTTATTTGTCCTAAGTGAGGCGTTAGGTACACATATGTGATATAAATATATAGCCCTATCTGTCCTCTAAAAAACAATATATAATATGTGTGGGTGCACTTTGTAAGAAAGTATATTACTGCCGTGGAAGAATCGCACAGCAAAAATGTCAAACGTGCTTCAGTCATTAACAAAAACTAAATACAAGCTCAGTTATGAAGGGGTTAAAAGAGAAGTAAAGCCAAACCTTTTTTTTTTGGCTTTATTTCTCTTTTGGGTCACAGGAGTACAATATATGGTCAGGCTCCACCCTGGCTGCCTGATGGACATCTGGCTCTGCCTTCCTAGAGCCAGAAGCAGCCATGCCCACCCCATCCCCTGTCTGTACCTCCAATAAGCACTGGTGGAACAGAAAGTAGAGGAGGAATCCCTGGGGGGAGCGGTGATTGACTGTCACTGTTCTCTGCAGAGGAGACTATGAGCTGAGCAATCAGCGGTTCATGATCGCTCGGCTCTCGGTATACAGAGCTGGCCTGTGAAAGCTGCAGTGTCTCACACTGGCCCTGGGAAGAGTATATTTTACTCCCCCAATACTTCTCCTTTAACTCTCTTTCTGTCCTGGTGGCCATTGTTACCAGGATTAGATGCAAGGAAAAATCCAAAATATTTAGTTTTCACTGGAGCAGGATTAGAGGGGAATTCTTACAATGGGGACCCTTGTTCTAGCGACAACTGTCAAAGAGGGGGTTTCTCTTATTTTGGAGAGGTTTCCTCTTACTTTCTGTTGTGTCCCTGGGGCAGGAAGTGAAGGAAAACCTTCCCACTGAGAAACAGATGGCAAAAGAGCTTGACAGGTGTTTTACCATTACCTATCCTTTTCAAAACAAAAAAAATTGTACTTATATAACTACTTGTTATTTAAGGATTATTTGATTGTCACAGGCAACACTTAAAGCTTATTCTTCATAAAGAGATCTGATCATTCAGAACATAACTGTCCGACTCAGGAAAAACCTCATCAATCTCTGATTTGTGTGGCCTCCTTTGGTCTTGTTAAGTCTTGAAAAATTCCATTAGGATTTTCAATAAGGCAGAAAACAATATAACACAAAGAAATGAATCATTCACTAATTCAGAGTATGGCAAATTAAAACCTAATTAGGTGCTGTGGGTTGCTGCCCTTTCCACTGCTTTACCGTATCAGCCCAATAGCATGTATGTGCCTTAATACAAACATCATCAAAGCATCCAATACAATGGAATTATCACAGCCATATGCCTGTGTGAAGTATAGCGTGACAAAAGGCTACTCACCTCTGTACACTTTACTGTTTTATCATGAGCTTCAAAATCAGTTTCCTGGCAAATCCTTTCACTTGGAATCCCTTCCATGGATTGGCCATCAACAGGGCTTATGACTCTACAGAAAGGAACATGAAAGAATAAGCAATAAAGTCCAGGGTATAAACATATGACAAGAAACACAATGGTCCTAAGAAAAGTACTGCAGAATGGACACCCACCTAGGGTGAGCACATGTGGAACAAATTTTCAACTGATCCTACACAAATTTGATAAACGAATGTAATAACCTGTTACTTTAATGTACAACAATGACTGGAAACAACTGATAGGTTAGCAGATAATGAATGAAATGACTTTAAAACACAAAGGAAAGCTATTTTTTGCAGATTACTGTTAATGAGAGGTTATTAATGTGAATGATCACACAAAGTGGTGCACTCACTGTGACATCTGTAAAATCAGCTACATTGCATATATTTCACAATAACTCCCAGGAAAATGGTCTGCATTTTATACATGTTTGCATATACAGGGCAAAGTCTCTCCTCCTTGCCCATCCCTGATTCACTTGTACTTGCTTTCCTAGTGTTCCCTAGCTCTTCTGTTGCATAAACCTGCTTAGTAGTGGGGAATCATGTGACCTCCTCCCAGGATGCAGTGCTTGGTTTACGTTCAGGAAATTCCATTTCAAAATTCAAATGGTAAAACTAGACGAAACTTTGAACGACATTCGTCAAGTCTCCGATAGCATTATCAAAAGATCTGACAATATTTTTAGTACCAACGTCCGTACAATTTTAAACTTGTATACCCAGCTTTAGGGTGCAGCAGAGAAGAAAGAAAACTAGCATTCTAATTGCACTGTATACAGTATATACCCTTTATTTTGTTTCTCTTCAGGCTCCACCCATTGGATAATGACTTCTTCAGACAACTCTCCGGAGTCGATTTTCCCACATGTTATCCGGAAGTCCTTTTTATTTCTCAAAGCTTGCCGTAAAGCTTCCATCATTTCCTGTGTTATTTGCACCATCACACCATCTAGGAAATATATATAACGGGAGAGATGATGATAAATGGAGAACTCAGGAGAAGATAATTCAATGGCAGAGTCAAAGGGACTTGCCATTCTCACTAAAAAAGCATATAAACCAACTGTCTTTGTCTTGACAGGGAGTCTACAATCACATTGATAGAGATAAATAAGAAGTAGGAAATCTTTCCACTTTTTCTATAATGCAAACACCCCCCCCCAGCCCTTGGACATAGTGAAAAAAAATCCATTAGAGTTACGCAACAAATACAGCACTCTTCTGCAAATTTTAAGGCAAAACTGCGCCATATATTTTACAGAATGGAAAAACAAAACATCAAATTTGGCAGGTGCAAACATTTAGGCCTCATTCACACACAACGCAAAAGTAAAATTGAATATTGTGTATATACGAGCGTATGTGCGTATATGCATGCACTATTTGCAATCCCACAATGCATCATTCGTAATGAACTGTATGCGCAGAAATACGCTGCCCGGACGCATGTCAGTTCCATTCTGTTTTTGCGCATTTCTACGCTACGCAAATATGCGGCTCCATACGCAGCTATGTGCATGGAGCCATTTATTTGCATATGCTGCATATGGTACAGTACGCGCATATACGTGCGGCAGTGTGAATGTGGCCTTAGCCTCTTTTAAATCATTTTCATAGCATTATTGATTGACTTTTATAGGGCTGCAACAACTAATCGACATAATCGACTATAATCGATTGAAAAAGTTGTCAACTTTTTCAATCATCGATTAATCGGCTTCCAATTAGTTGGCCCTGCTCACAGCTCCACACACGCTGTGCGCCACATCTCCTCCCCACCTCACACTTGCCGCTGCCAGACCCGCCCGCATCCACGATCCACACGCTGCACCTCCTCCCCGCCACACCGCCTGCCCACATCCACGATCGGCACAGGGACGCGGGGAGAAGTAAGGAGGAGCAAGTGTGGGGGGATGACAGCCGCCGACAGACAGGCCCGATCTCAGAAGCGAGTTGCTGGAAGACTGCTCAGGTAAGCCTGCACTTTCCCACACATGGTGCTCTATAATGTATTGCTGGGATGTGTATTCCTCTATAGCTGATGGTACATTGGGCTGTATATTATACCATCAGCTATAGAGGAATACAAATCCCAGCAATACATTATACACTGTATGTATAATGTATTGCTGGGATTTGTTGTATTTCTATATAGCTGGTGGTATTCTGCATTGTGCTGTATAGAGGACTACAAATCCCAGCAATAATACATTATACAGTGCAATGCGGAATACCAACAGCTATAGAGGACTACAAAACCCAGCAATAATACATTATACAGTGCAATGTGGAATACCACCAGCTATAGAGGACTGCAAAACCCAGTAATAATACATTATACAGTGGTGCAATGCCGAATACCACTAGCTATAGAGGACTAGAAAACCCAGTCCTCTATAGCCGGTGCCATTCTGCATTCATTGCTCTATAATTTTACACTTTTCATTTCACTATATTGCACACCACACTTTTTTTTTTTACTTCCACCGCTCCAAGCTTGCTGTAGTGATGGACTACAATCTCAATACAAACTAGTAGTCCCATCACTGGAGCCATTTTAAAAAATGTATTTTATTTTATCCGATTAACCGATTAATCGTACTTAATAATCGACCAACTAATCGATTTTGAAAATAATGTCCAAGTGCCATTGCTCTCCTGACCGGTAAGTTCCTTTAGGAATGGGTGGGTGCCACAGTGGCAAATGGATGGCGCCGCTCAATATCAGAAAGGAAGGGGTCACTGGCAGTGCAGCATGCTGATCAATTCGCCTTTACTGATGCATGCTCAGTATCACGTAACTCGACATTTCATCGCCATGCAGGGTCCCTTTCATCAGGCAAAACAGTGTAAGTTAGTCGCATAGATGGCGAATCGCCAAGGACCACCAATATCATGTAGGAGGAAGAGGAGTGAGTCGCATGCTCCCTCTACCTGAAAGTACCAGAATGTAACTTCGCTACCAGAGGAACAGAGCAACGGTAAGGGAAGGGAAAAAGGGGAGAGCATTTAGATAAAGTGTCCTGTATGGGCAAATCACATCTGATTTTCAGGGTACCATTTTGGGTGCATCACGGCTCTAGGAAGTGCCTGCATTAAAGTCCAGCTTCCAGATCGCTAAAGATCTGGAAGTAGTGGTGGAAAAAATAGAAGCAGGATGGAAAATCTGCTTGAACTAACAAAATTCTAACAGTGAATGTGGTTTACGTTCAGGAAACTCCATTCATTTCAAAAATCGAATGGTAAAACCAGACGAAAGTTTAAACGACATTCGTCAAGTCCGCTCTAATAAATGGAATCTAAGAGAAACATTATAAAGAATCTCTATCAATCACCTAAATAAAAAGTCCAATAAAAGATGTTCCTGCAAAGACTATAGTAAATACTTATCTCTCCCCACAGCCTTGCTGCCGAATGCATTTGTAATGAAGAGAAATTGGTGACTGAAGGCTCTCCAGAAACTGACACTTCAGTGTCCATCTCCTATGTACCCCAGTGCTTTCTTCCACCAACCCCTAGTGCAGGGGTCAGCAACCTTAAACACTCAAAGAGCCATTTGGACCTGTTTCCCACAGAAAAGAAAACACCGGGAGCCACAAAACCCTTTTGACATCTAAAATGAAGATAACACTGCATATATTATTTTTTACCTTTATGCAATGTATAGCATGTATATAGGTATATGTGGGCTTAGTAACGCACTGGACTCTGGGCTTAGTAACGCACTGGACTCTGGGCTTAGTAACGCACTGGACTCTGGGCTTACCTGAGACCCCGCAGAGCTCACCTGAGAGTGACCCTGCAGAGCACACCATAGATCCTGCACAGCCCATCTGAGGCTCTCTATGGTGGGCTCTGCAGGGCAGGTGGGCTGGTCGCCGGGGTCCCTTTCCCTCTACCTCTACCTCCTCCCAACTCCTCTTACTTGCTGCTGCTGGGGCCTGGCCTCATTCACCCCCTCCCCTTTCACCTCTCCCAATGTCGCCCCTGGTACAGCTGATAGAAGAGGCCCCCCAGGCTGCCCAGACCCCTCACATGGGTAGCGGTGTTCTATCAAAGTTTGTGACTGCGTTACAATGTGTGACCGGTGATGTGGTCACACATTTCAATTTAATCCTGCCCAAGCATTTCAACGCTTTCTCAGCAAGGCCCCTTCGGTAGTTCCGCCCCTGGACAGGGAGCCGCAGCAGCAGAGGGATGAAAGAGCCACATGCGGCTCCGGAGCCGCAGGTTGCTGACCCCTGCCCTAGTGCTATACAAGTCGGTGAGAGGAACCACTGAGCGCAGTGGGAAATCTGGAAGAGGAATTTTAGGCGGGAAGAGGTGTTTACTATCTTCTTGCAGAGAATTCCTTGAAGCTAAATGTCCCACAGTGAAGATGACACTGTCTTGTTTCGTAAAAGGAAAAGGTCTAACTGCAACTGTAAAATTTCTCAATCAAAACAATTGCATGAAAATCTGTGGGTATATCCCAAATATGCAGTGAATGTCAGACAACCTTGCAATATCTCTGAAGTCAATGCATTCACCAAAGAAAAATGGGAAACATTTAAAGTGCAAAAGGACAGACTCGTAGCTAGAGAAATGAAAAGAGAAAAAAAAAAAGTCGCTGCAACTGAGATCACCCTGAGGAGGAGTGACTATTGTTTGTGGGGGAAATGAACATCAATTTAATAGTAGTGCTTATTTCATACTTTTTAAACATATTGTGATGTTTGCCTATTGTTCCTTCTTTTCACATATTTACATAATTGCGACTGTTCTCCTAGAGTGGTAGCCGTGCAACATTAGACATCTTGTCCCTATACTTTCTTGCTTTCCCCTTTTACATTTCTTTTATTTTGCTTTATTTCTCTACTCCTTAAAGAACTCTCTTTCACGGCTAACCACCACCAAATAAAGTGCAACATTGCTCCCCAAGTGTACCCCAACAAGTTTCCCCACTAATCAGGAAACAGAAGAAATGAAAGTGTTTTGGTTTTCACAATATAAAACCTACATGCTTACATACCTTCTACTATGCTAGACTTGGCAAGGAAGCCAGATGACGTTTTCAGAGCACCATTGAAAACAATAAAACTTGCTCCAGTAACTGTGAAGGAAAAACAATACACCGTTAACAGTGGCAATAAATGCATTGCATGAGGTCTGCAGAAAGGGAAACCAAAGCTGGCCATTCACTGAGCAAATTTCCACCAGTTCTTGATGAACCGTTTGAAATTTGCTAAGTGGGCATCCTTGTTGGCAGCCTTCATCGCGTGGATGGATCTACCAGTGTATGGTTAATATAGCTAAAGTGGTCAGCTCCCAAATTGCTGCAGAGGGATTTTAGCATATGACATACAAGATACTATACTCTAAAAAACAGACATAAACAGACATATTTACAAAATAACATTATACTGCATAAAAACTACAATTTGTACCTTCAAGGACATTGTAATTCCAAGGAAACGCTACACACAAAGCTTTATTGTTGTAAGTTATTATAAAATTGTTGCCATCTGCAAAATGCAGTTAAAGGTTTTACCTTTCTGATCATGATCCATATTGGGTGTAACATTATAAAATGGTTAGATCGCAACCCCCTCCCCACCCACACACACGCCCCACTTACCTGAATCCTGCAGTTCTCCTCCCCGCAGGCTTGTTTACATTTTTTAATTCGGCACGGCTGTGTGTTGATTCGCCAATACAGCCTTATTATCCATTCACAGATCCTTTGACAGGATCTGTGAATGGAGAAACTACGAGCCCCACCAGTAACTGCAGCAGAGGGACTTGTAGTTCTGAATGGAATACAAGTATGGTGACGTCACCACACTTGCACTCTCATTCATTTTTCTTCCTGTCCATGTTCTTAAATGTCTGTACCAATGTATGAACAGGGACGGGAGGAAGAGCCTGCAAGAGCTGGAGCATTCTGCCACTGATCATGGTTGCAATGCTTCACTGGCTCAAAAAAAAATAAAAAAAAATGCACATTTAATCTAATGAAGTGTGCATTCATTTATTTTTTTAAAGGTGGAATGTCCCTTTAATGTGATATCTGTCATCAAAGCTTAAAGTGGCACTCCAGTCAAAGCCTTATTTAGCTTTGAATAGAAAGGGAAAGGGCTGGAAAATCTATTAGGCCTTCCTTGCTGTCTGTTTCTCTATTGAGTTGTTTTCCCCTCCAATTCTGTCCTAGTAACAGGTGCCAATGAACAGAAAGAGAGGGGAAATCTCTCCAATAGGGATACAGAAAGAAGTAAAAAAGAAATCTTTTTAGTAGACAGAAGGGTAAGGGGTCCTAATAAATCTAAAGAGCCAGAATCATTTGTTGTCTGCTCCTGACCTATGCTGGAAACGTATCACACAATTAGCACAGGCCCATTGTTCCCCTTCATGCCATGCTGCAGGGGAGGCGCAGCAGCTTGCAAGACTATAGGACCTGAACTGCTTTGTATCTGAAAGTAAAGCACACCTAATGGCTAATGACAGCAGGTCTAAGAACCATATACAGCACGGAACACAACAGAAAAATGATCACCTATGAATTGCATGGAGAAGCATAAAGACCCAGCGATTACATCGCTAGATCTAAAATACAGTATGTTATAAAAAACAAAAACAAATGTATTTAAAAATGTAAATAGCATGTTTATAAAGGGGAAAAAATGAGGAACCAGTGAAGGCAAAATAGAAGCAGATTAAGCTTCAGCTTTAACATACAGCCTGCAACATTCAAGAGGAATCCTACCAAAACACAACCAACAGAAGCATATCATATATACAGGTAGCAGGTAATCGAATTGATGACTGTAAAAAGAAAACACAGAAGTGGAGTTTCTCTTTACAGTCAAGTAACTTGCATACAGAGCAGGTTTGCGTCCACAGAAAAAAAAACGTTCAGCTTCATGACAGGAAAAGTGTTCTTGAGGATGCTGGAAAACTTCCTAGTATGTAAAAAGGAAAGAAAAGGAACCTTGATGTCACTGAATGAAAATATGACAGGATAGGACAGAATCCATATAAAACATTAAATGTCATTTTTGCATTAGATCAACTTGTATTTCAGGAATAGTGACTTTATATACTAATCATCTCATTTCCAGTCCTCACCTTGTCGTGACTGGCCAGGGACACTGCTGGCTTGTGTCTGGTAAATTCCATTGTTGTTTTGTACACAGACCAGATGAGAATCTGCCTGCATACTGAAGCTGGCACCGATGCTTATGACGTGTTCATTGCATGAATGAATTACCTTCAGTATCTATGAAAACATGAACCACATAGTTAGAAATCTATACACCACGATTCTGATCTAATGTGCACCTGGCTATCTGACATTTCCAGGTATGCTGGATAGTGCAGCTGCCACTATGAACTGCGGTTCATCCCGCCAACCCCTTTGTTACTATAGGACACAGTAGTGATGTGCGGGAACTACAGTGCAGTGGGGGACACTGTTCCCCAAGACACCCAGAAGTGCTGGATAGGAGTGGTGGCCATAGCTTGGAAACAACCTCAACCTTTAAAGGCACGGTTTTTTGGCAGGGAGCAGCTAATGCAAGGGTTGCTTTAAAGCCTTGGTTCTCAACTGGTGGGTTGTGACCAAAAAGTGGGTCGCGACCCCGTGTTCAGTGGGTCATGCCTTCCACTTTTCTAGGTGAGAGGCACCTCTGCCTCCCCCTAGCGCAGCACTGTTAGTTCTTGTGCCAAGCAAGCATTCAAAATATGCTGCCTGACACAGAGTGTCAGCTTGAGGTGGGATGGGATGGGGTTATATCCGTGAGGGAGCTCCATCCATACGTGCATTGCTTACAGCTCCCTTGCTCCCTGATTATACTGTGGAGTAGGGATCGACCAATATAAATTTTTGCAGAGCCGATACCTGGCCGCCTTTCAGGCCTATAGCCAACATCAGGCGTCGTTATCCTGCACATTTAAAGTTGTGAAAAATCAACACGATTTTTTAGTATACTGAGACCTGCAGATCCCGGTAGACCACACAGGCATGCTGGGACTTGTGCGCCTCTGGAGATCATAAGTATACTGGGGCAGGTCCTACTCCCAGTATACTTGTGGTGTCCAGAGGACAAGTCCCAGCATGCATGTGAAGTTACCTGTGGACTTCTTGTCCCAGTATGCCTGTAAGGTCACCAGGTACTACAGGTCTAAGCATGTCTGTGTGATCACCCAGGGTCTGCAGGTACTGGTATACTTGTAGTCTCCAGGAGGAACACAAGTTCCAGCATGCCTCTGTGGTTACCAAGGAGGACTAGGAAGGAGATCACTCTGCAGAGGCAGCGTACAGTACACAGGCTAGGGACCAGGCTCTACAGGACACTGGCAGCTGCCCCTTAAATATTGTGACAGGCAGTGGGGGAGGAGATCATTCTGGGCGCCTGTACCACAGGATATTGGGCTGGCCGCTCTCCCTTGAATATTGTGACAGGAAGTGGAGGAGGAGATCATTCTGCAGGAGAAGGAAGAGGTGCACAGGCTGGGGACCTGCTGCAACAAGACACTGGCTGCTCTCTTTTGAATATCGGCAATATCAGTAAGATGAATACCGATGCCGGTTATTGCATTCATCAGCCATAATAATCCGCATTGCAAATAATTGGTTGCCCCCTATTGTATAGCTATGTACATGTGGAGGTAAACAGTGTGGATGAGCTCAGCCCGCAGGCACCCATTTTTCTTCCCCGATATGTGGCCGTAAAGGAGGGGTATTGCAACATGTTGCATCTATCTATAGTGTATGGCTTACTGCACACAAATAAAAGGTTACCCCAACCTTGTAAGCAACCTCAGCACTCCAACTTTTTTTTTTTTAAATTCTTTATTTATAGACAAAAAGGGTGGTGTACAATGCATGGAAGCTCACGCGAAGGCCACATGGTCTCGCAAAATAACAGAACAACGGACAGTGAGACTCATAATACGAACATGGTAACATGTGGTAATATTAGGTCCAGTAATCACATTTGTCCCCGCCCTTAAGGCAATTTTTTAGGTGAATCAACGTAAAACCAACATTAACGTCAGGGTGAGCGGTCGGGCCCAGCCCCACATTATGGGCGGCCAAGCCCCCCACGATCACCCCAGCACTCCAACTTTGATGAAATTACAAAACACATCCCGCCTCTGGCCTCATGGCTGTGGCTATAAGAATCTTGCAATGCCTCATGGGACTTGTAGTTTCACCACAGCCGAAGTGCCAAGGTTGCCTACCCTTGTTGTAAGTGCTTTTCTTTAACACACCCTGATATAACACAATACCAGTACTATACATTGTATAAGTTGTGTCTTGTACAGTTCCTTGAACAGTGATATGGGTTTTCCAGAACACACTGGTTTGATTAAAAAGTTTTTACACACCTCGTTGTGTCGCCATGAAGGGATCTTGATGCAGCTTTTGCCCATTTCCATGTGAATTACTAAACCATCTACATGTGGGATCGTGTACTGGTAATTTCTAAGGTCCTGCAAAATCATAATATAAGACAATCACACGTAGGTCCCTCTCTACGAGTTATATTACAAAAATGTATTAAACACACAAATGTACATCATTACTTACAGTTAATAGATTAATGATCGTGTGTCCAATCTCTCCATATACAGATTTTCGTTGTCTCTGACTTGTTATGGGAGAAGGGTATACTTGAGGAAAAAAAACCATCAAGGATTACTGTAATAAAGTGTCTTGACCGTGCTCAGGTAATATGTCAATCACTTGTTACAAAATATTTTACAGCCATACAATCCGAGTAAATGTCTTGATTTAATTAATCAATATGTGATTACGTTCTTTGTTTAGTTATATGAATTATAAGTATATAAGTACCCAGGGAAGGTCATATTTGCACATTACATGTGCAGGCTCTGGTTTCTGCCTTGCAGTGCTACATAGAAGATATGCTATACTGCTCCTTCTCACAATGCACATTTATGAGTCAGCTGACTCCATAAAAAAAAAAAAAAAATTGTGGCGAATATATTTTAACACAGTAACTGCACTGAGCAACTGAGAGCTACCCTATAATTAAAGTGATCCTGTGCCCATATCATGCACAATAAAGTATTTATATATTCTGAACAAGCAGTAAAAACACTTTAAACACACCCTCATTCATCTCTGCATCTATAAGCATTGTAAAGAAATTCCTTTTCAAAGTTAACAATACAGCAGCGAGTTTATCCAAGACTAGCAGATTGCCAACCTTCTCATGTAAACAACCAGTATTTGTTTCTAAGCTGTTAGGACCCATTCAAACTACTGTGTTGTGGCAATGCACGTTACCAGCGTTCATTCTGAATGATACTCCAAAGCACCCTGGAAACGGACGTTACCTAACATATACGGACACTACTAAATTTGGCCTGGCCAACTAGGCATTGATAACCACCAGCAATAAAAAGGTCACGACAAACTTATCTTCAACTCTTAAAAAGTCTGGCACACAAAACTTACCAGAGCACTCAGCTCCCAATCTCAGCATCAGGCGAATGGGAAAAACCTTAGCCCAGGGTACTTCCATTTTCTGAATGAGAACTCCACACAAGAAAGGACTGTTAGGAACAGGCAATCCACTGAGCTCCTGAAAAGTCGGTGTAAAGAACAGGACGCCGCCATGATCCTTACTACTCAGAAAGCTTTCTGTGAATGTGATATTGTCCAAATTGCCTATATATTTTCCTGTTGAAAAATTAACATAATTGATGAAAAGGGCAGTGACATGCTTTCCTCTTAGTGGCAAGATGGCAATTTTTTTTATCTGTCGCAATAATGGAGAAACCTTTAAGACATGGAGCTTGGTAATGGTGCACTAGGTACAACGCATTAATAATATACAGGTCATACACACAAGGAGGAGCAGGTGAAAGGATTAATACAAAGGCCACATACAGTGGGAGGATGGGGCTGGGGGTGTTAACGTGCAGATGTGCTGGATAAGGGAGCTGAAGGCATTCATATAAAAGTCACTAGAGTAGGGCTGCAACAACTAATCGACATAATCGATTATAATCGATTATTGAAAAAGTTGTCAACTTTTTCAATAATCGATTAATCGGCTTCTGATTAAGCAGAACAGAGCTAAGATTTATTCATTACAAGTATTGATATAGCGCCAACAATTTACACAGCGCTTGACCTCAAGGAGCTTACAATCTAAGGTCCCTATTGCCCACACATACAGGGCCAATTCAGACAGGAGCTAATTAACCTTCCGGCATGTCTTTGGAGTGTGGGAGGAAACAGTAGTACCTGGGAGGAAACTCGCGCAAGCACAGGGAGAACATGCAAACTCCATGCAGATAGTGTTCGGACCAGGATTTAAACCGGGGACCCCCAGTGCTGCAAGGCTCACCACTAAGCCACTGTGCTGTGCAAGGTGTACAGGAGATAGGTGTGAGGGTGAAAGGGTTAAATAATGATCCCACAACCACAGTAATTAACCCTCCTCCCCCCCACCACCTAAATCTCCTGCTTATGAATGATTCCTTCAATCAACAGATCTTCCATTTATCCCTTCCTCCCACAACTGAGAGTGTTCTCAGAGGTTCTAGAGTGTTTGAACTTGTGGTCGCTGTGATTGGCCATCACAACAATTACAAGGTACAGTGTACATTGAAGGGAATTTATCAAAACTGGAGCAGTTGCCCTTAGTGACCAATCAGCTTCTCTCTTCAGTTTGTTCAGTTAAACTTCAAAATGCAAGATAGAATCTTACTGGTTGCCATGAGCAAATGTTTCGGTTTATGTCTGCTCCAGTTTTGATAAATTCCCCCACTGGGTTTGTCATCTGAGCTAATGACAGCTTGATTATACACATTCCCCAGGGCACACTGGCCGCCCATGTGTGTTTTCTGAATTGACGACTATATACGGCACTCCAGAAATGCACCTCCTAGCCGTTATTTTTCCAATACAGCAGTTGGGAGGTGATTCATTTTGCCAAAATGGAGTTGAATGGCGCCTTTAAAAGGCACCTGCAAAGCTACCTGATCTCTCTTAGCTCCCTGATTTTGAACTGAGTGACAAAGAATCAAAATTAAGGCGATTATGTGCAGCTAGGAAGCGCAGCAGCTAGCTGAACCTGTTTCTTTGTCCTTAATAGGCAAAGCATAGGTTCCTTTCAAGCACATCGACCACGTGGACCCTGGGAATCTGTTCAGCCCTGTACCCTCGGCACATTAATAAGACACGATGAGGTTATATTTTAACATGATGTATAAACATATACTAGGTTACCTTTCTGTGCATCCTTGTAAATGAGCACCATAAGTTTAAGTATATCCTTTGGGACAGTATCTTCATCCGGTAAACATTTTAAAACAAATATAATTTCTGGCTGACCTAAGCCATGTAATCCGTTTGTAGCAAAGAACCAGCACTTTTCTGAAGCACCTGAACAGGAAGAAATCCAAACACAAGATCTTTTCAATGCATTTGGCTCTTATAAGTATGACAAGTATAACAAGATGGCTGCCACATCATATGACCTATGACCTTTATATTGCAATAAGTTCTGCAGAGCATAGGATTCTACCACTGGATCAAGCTTCATGAGTTTTTGTCTAACATTGCACTTATTACAGGCAATTGAATAAAGTGGCGGAATAATAATAAAATTGATAATAATCTTAACAAAATCAATAGGTGTCCTGCAACTTCGTTGCTTGGCCACCTAAATGGGATGATGCTTACTTACAAGTTACTATCTTGACATTCACAAGTAAGTTTGCATTCAAGATGAAAGTCAAGGGATTGGGCCCATCTTCATTCAAAAGCATCATTACTCCTGCATGAGTTGGACTGTTCTCCACCACGGCGTCTAAAATAAAACAGGTTAAGGGGTGTTATATCATGTTTCCAAAGAATGCAATCAATGCTGAAATATGTTACTGTATATAATACAAGATGACTATTAGTGTTTTGTTTTTTTCAGCATGAATAGGCTTATTTTTAATCTCATGTCATTCTTATCAAATAAACAGATAAACCAAGGTTAAAAAGGGAAGTTCCTAATAAATAGAATATTTTATTCAATAATGTACTGTGTGTTACAAATAAACTTATCGACAGCAAACTTTCAGATTTTGGTTTACTGTTTTGTGACAAAGAGATCTGACTGGTTACCGCAATTTCTACTAAGTCTGAATAGTAAGTGTTTAAGAGCTGCATAAACTGTTGGCGCTATATCAATCCTATATAATAAGAATAGTAAAAAAAAAAAAAAAAGGTTTCCTACAGCAATCAAGAAAGTCAAAAAACTCTTCTTTATGGCCCATTCACACTAGCCGCATACTAAACAACCAGTGTGGGCTAGTGTCTACTGGGTGCCGGTGGTGGGGGCTGTGCTTTACATTGCTAAAAAGAAAACACTGTTTACCTCTTTTTTTCTTTTTAAAGTGCCATTTCAATCAATCCTATGCTCCATTTGTCTGCGTTTTTCCGCAACGCACCTGAAAACGGTGTTGCAGTGTAAACAGGGTTTTTTACATGCCCCCACTGTGACTGGTGTTGATCAAGTGCAGAAACAAGTCAGTCAAGGTCCATAGTGTAAATGGGCCCTTAATGTTCTCACAAGCATCTGTGAAGCAGTAAAATATGAAAGCCTGAATCTAATTGGTAGCTATAGACAACATGGCATCCTTTAGTTTGTTTTCCCAAAATTATTTATTATGGGGATCTCCCTAAACTATCCAATCAGCTTGTATCCAATTAGGAAGCCCGTTGCACTGCATAGTTGTTGGGGAGATCAAAAGATTATTGTACAGGCTGTAATGTGCACGGTGAGCTTTAGAGTTAAAGTGACACTAAACTCAGGAGTTAAATCTTAAAAATACATTCAGGAACCTTAACTATTAACATAAATGTATCTTATTTGTGTATCACTCAGCTGTAGATCCTCAAATCATCTCTGAATTGGTGCTGACACTGTCCTTCCTTCTGGAGGGTGGCTACTTTTCTTCACCATGGTTCTTGTGTGTGTTGTAAAGTAGCCACCACTCCAAGCTCACTCCAGTGATGGACTACAATCTCATATTTAGTTTATTGCTTTGTATTGAGTTTGTAGTCCATCATGGGAGAGAGCTTGGAGAGGTGACTACTTTACAACACACACACATGGGGAACAAAAGCAGTCACCCTCCAGAAGGAAGGACAGTGTCAGCACCAATTCAGAGATGATTTGAGGATCTACAGCCGAGTGATACACAAATAAGATACATTTTTGTTAATAGTTAAGGTTCCTGAATGTATTTAAGATTGAACTCCTGAGTTTAGTGTCACTTTACGGTAACTCTACACTAAACAATTTCCTGTCGATCTACCATCAACTAAGTAGTGCAAAAGTCTGCCTGGTTTAATACAAATTCATTGCACTGCTTAGTGTGTCTTCCTATTACATAGTTTTGATAAATCTAAAGGAGGTTTGTACAATCAGATATGTATAGTGTATGGCCAGCTTTACTCTGCCTTAACTGTAACACATCATGCATGCAACATGTCTGCACACAGTTACCTCCACTTTCTCCACTAGCCAGTAGAAGAGGCGGAAGGCCTAAATCATCAACTGGAATAAGACTTGTCTCTCTGATAACACATTTATCGATCCCACACAACATTCGATAGTCTTTTGGCGAGGATACACTAAAGGTGTTAGCTGCTTCATCAGAGGCAGATGCCTGCTCTTCAGGCACTTCAACAGAGGTACCCGATATTTCCGGTGTATCAGATTGCTTTGTACCGTCCTGGAAAAGGCCAGCAACTTGCTGCAAGAAAATGAAAGTTCATTAATATTACACTGCAAATATTCCAGCTCCAACACACAATAGTATTTTATCTTTGAAATGCCAAAAATCTAAAGAAATAAGACCAATGCTGCAAAATAAAAATAAAAACCCTTGATGACCATGTAGGCTTCAATCACCTTGATGAGGTCATTAAAGCCTAGATGCCCAGAGTATATGTTGCAGTGTCCGAATTGGCTGGTTTCTGCATATAAAGCTTTTATTCAGTACGTGGTGTAAATAAATACTGCACTCATGTTTTTCTATTACAAGCTGACGAATGGACAAAAATGTGAAAAAAATTATTTTAGTTAAAACAGTATTTTTGTAGCACTGTATAGTCATCTTTTGTATTCTTAAACATTACTGACTTCACCAAATCTGGGAAAAGACATACAACCAGTGAAGTCAGAAAAGTCTCAGTTCTTGCCCTCCTTGTTCTTTAATCATATCTTAAATTTGGCATTCTTCTTAGTGATCATGGGGCAACATGGGTTCTTCTTCTCCTCCTGCATAGCTGCATATAACAGAGCAGCGCTTTGGTCCCTGTGTGTGTTGTAAAGTAGCCACCGCTCAAAGCTCGATCCCATGATAGACTATAATTTCAATACAAATTAGTAAACTAAACATGAGATTGTAGTCCATCACAGAAGCGAGCTTGGAGCAGTGACTACATTACAACATACACAGGGACCATGGGGAAGAAAACTAGCCACCCTCCAGAAGGAAGGACAGTGTCAGCACCAATTCAGAGATGATTTTGAGGATCTACAGCCGAGTGATACACAAATAAGATACATTTTTGGTAATAGGCAAGGTACTTGTATGCATTTTTAAGATTTAACTCCTGAGTTTAGTGTCACTTTAACAAAAATGGAGTTGTGCTTTAAATATTTCACTTTAGGAGCTGATACTTGACTTAGATTTCAACAGCAATGCTGCCAATCTGCGCTTCATGTGTGATTACAAGGCAGTGGTTTAGACGTTTAGTCCAAATATAAAATGCCCCTTGTCATGGGAACATTAATCAACATTGCAGCAGAGAACTTGGTACGTGCAACAGTGTTTCTAGTTCTCGGACCTGCTGCCAATCAGAAAAATTAGCAATAGAGTTATTGTCATGATAAATTACACACACCGACACTGCTAAACTTGGTCTGGGCATACGTGTTAAGAAAACGCAGGTCATGAAAGGGTTAATGTCTCCTAATACGACAGTAAATGGTGACCACCAGCAACAAGTCTCACCAAGGCACAATCTGGAGAGAGTGGAGAAGCTGCATCAGAATCCGGAGTAGATCTTTTCCCAACGGCGGCAAGTTTACTTGTATCAGCAACTTCTCCATTGGGTAATAATCCATCAGCAAACCACACCCTCTTCTGTTCCTTCTGCATCAGGCCTACAATTAAAAAAAAAAAAGAAACTAATGACAAAGCACTGTCTAGAGAGAGAATTTAGTATAAGCCAAAAAATATTTTCATAAGGGAGTTCAAAAAATAAAAAAAAATCCACATCATCATTAAGGTCATAATAAAATACAGATAACTTACGAAAGTAGCCCAGTATGTTATAGTCTACCACTTCAGCTCTTATCGGTGTGGAGATAAGAGCTTAGTTGTAGATGTTAGATAAGAAGTTGGGATTGTCATTTCAGTAACTGATATTTAGTCCGCTTAGGCTGCATGAGTCTGAAAAAATGAGTACATTTAAAACAGCGGATGGAGCGGATTATAAATGGTACCGCTATGTCAACACTGCTTGGGAAATAGGAATTTTCAATTAAAAGGCAATGTATTGTCTCCTCAATCATTTTTGTACAAGTGCATATAAAAAAGAGGACAACTAGATTTTCCAGAACTCTGGGCAGTACAAAACATAATCCCTGCATTGCGGCTCCCCACACACTGCAAGGGTTGACTGCTCATTTTCGTCTAGGTAGTAAAATAACAAAGATATACTCACCTGAACCTGGCACTCGGCTGGATGCTAGATCGGTCCCTGCAGCCTTGCTCCCCCTTCACTCCAGCGGTCTAAAACCCTCCGAGTCATCACGTGCAATACAGTGTACTGAACATGAGGATGCCGAGGGACATACAATCACTGGAACGGAGGGGAAGAGAGGATGCAGGGAATGGTCTAGCAGCCAGCTGGGGCGAGGTTCAGGTGAGTATTTCTTTGTTACTTTATCCCCGAGAGGAAAAATGAGCAGTTAATCCTTTCAGTGTGAGGAGAGCCCCACGGCAAGAGTTAATACACATTTTAGCTGGAATTCTGTTTTACGGACAATGCTTCAGTTCCAGTAGAAGTAGTGCAGACAAAAAAAAAAAGTAAATTGACAGAAATGTTGAGTAACATTGCCTTCTGCAACAGAAGAAAACAGTTTTTTCCAAAAATGCCCTGAAGGAAATGAAATACAAAAGTCTGCTATACTGTAGAAAACCCAAGACACAAGGCTGGTATGCTGCACAACTGCTCAGGCGCTGAACACACACACGAGCACATAACAGATAAGTCACATACAATGAATAAATATGATGTATTGGAGATATTTTCTGTATTTCAGAAATGACAAGTGATCTCAGAAGCCTCATACCTTCCTTCAGGGGATCTCCTGCAGCTGTCCCGACTACAAGTCACCCACAGCTTCGGCAAAGTATGGTAAAGTCACCCATAACCATCGTTACCTGGCTGCTGCTATGTTTGCTAGTGTCACTTCTCCAGTGACCCAGATCAAGGCAGAAGCTGCTCAAGCCAGACCTGTATTCCGAGTCACACAATCAAGCAACTGTTAGAATAATTAGTGACGCACCAAAATTCCTAGCAGGATAAGGTCAATGTAGGAGATACTGATAGTGCAGCCTTATTGCACAATTCCAGTCATTTTACCCATTTCACTACTAAACATCCCCGAGAGCAACACACAGCAGTCTCTGCCTTCTGTAAATGTCTAGGTTTCCTGGACAAAGGTCACTAAAATATCTCCAGTTAGTCTTAATGGTAACAGTGTTTCTAAGAATCTTCCAGGACAGCAACCTGAGAGATGATGATGTTTCCTGTAGACTGAAGAGCCAATCAGACAAGTTTAAAAACCCCTCCCACCCCCCCTCGTCCCTCAGTTGAGATTACAGTAGAGTACTTCCACCAGTGCATGGGGGGGAAAAATTAGACAACATAAATCCAGTAAGGGTGGGAAGTAAGCTTGCTGTCCTGGAAGATTCTTAGAAACAACGTTACGACTAACTGGAGATTTCTCCAATCATCTTCCAGGACAGCAACCTGAGAGGATAAGCAAGATAAAACACAAGTCTACCATAGGGTTGCAAGAGACCTAGTAGAATGGGCTTTTAAGGGAGTTGAGATACTCATATCCTCCTTCCTAGAGATGGCTTGCCGAATCTATCTAGCAATGGTAGCTTTAGAAGCCATGCTACCTTTCTTGTAACCACCAAATAGAACAAATAATTGACTGGATTTTCTAAAATCCTTAGTAACCTCTAGGTATCTTAGAAGACATCTTACATCCAGATTATTAAATTTTTCCTCACCAGGAGTCAGAGGATATTCACAAAAAGAAGGTAAAATGATCTCCTGGGACCTATGAAAAAAAGTGGCTACCTTAGGTAGATATAGTGGATCCGGTGTGAGTATAATCCTGTCTGGGAACACTGTAAGATAAGGCTCTATAATAGATAATGAAGAGAGATCACCCACTCTTCTGGCTAAAGTATCGGCTAACAGAAAAGCCATTTTTAAGGATAACCATTTAATAGACAAATCTTCAATAGGGATGTTTAGTAAGACCTGTAAGCACTAAAGACAAATCCCAAGGATGAAAAAACTGTTTGGACAAGGGCGTAACATGGTCTGTGGATAGGGAAAAATGTTTGATTAATATATCCTCTGTCAATTTATTGTCCAGAAAAACAGAGAGCGCGGAAATTGGTACCTTTAAAAAGGCACTAACTGCCAATTTATTTTCTACACCATCTTGAAGGAAATCCAGAATAACTGGAACTGACGGAATAGAGATTTGCTTCTAAATTCACCATGATAAAAACACTTTCCAAACCTTGTTGTAGATCTTTCTTGTTACATACTTCCTACTGGATAGAAAGTTGTCAATAACCCTTTTAGCACAGCCTTTGTTTTCTAGGATCCTCCTTTCAACATCTATGCCGTTAACTGGAAAAAACTTCGGGTCGTGAAGCCACACTGGGCCCTGAGACAAAAGATCCGGTCTGAGGGGCAGAATCCAAGGAGGCTGAATTGATCTTCTCTGTAGTTGCAGAAACCACATTCTTTTGGGCCACCATGGAGCAATAAAAAATGAGTGTGCAAACTGACCGACTTAATCTTTTAATTACTTGAGGGACAAGAAAAAGAAGCGGAAAGGCATAGCCTAGAGAGAAGTCCCAGTCTTGTGACAGGGCATCCACGCTGATGGAATCCCCCTCTCTTGAAAAAGAGAAAAGAAGTGAACCACTTTCCTGTTTTTTCTCATTGCAAATAATTCGAGTACTGGAACTCCCCAACGGTCGACAATCTGGGAAACAAATCTCTGGATGAAGCTGCCATTCACCCTGTGAAATGGGTGCTCGACCTTAAAAAATCTACTACCACATTGGATGTCCCTTTTATGTGGACTGCAGAGATGGAGAGGAAATGCTGCTCTGCCCAGAGAAGGAACTGAACAGTTACTAGTAGAAGACTGGGGGACCTGGTACCCCCTTGAGGGTTTAAATAGGCTACTGTTGTAGCATTGTCTGAAAAGACCAGTATTTCCTGCCCTTCCAACTTGTGCTGCAAAGCTAACATGGTCTGCTTTACTGCTAACAACTCTCTTAGGTTGGAAGAGGCATTCATAAATTCTGGGGCCCAAGACTCCTGAGCCTGCAACCCTTCAGAATGAGCTCCCCAGCCCCATGAGCTTGCGTCTGTCATGACTTTTATGGTGGTCTGCTTATTCCAAGGCCTTCCTTTTGACAAAGTTAGTGTATTGAACCACCAAGTTAGGGACTGACGTAAATCAAGGAGACCTTTTCCTCCAACGATTCTTTCCGACGATCCCAATGGGACAGAAAACATTGAAGGGGCCTGGAGTGCAATTGAGCCCATATTACTGCTGGAATTGCCGAAGTCATAACTCCTAGGATTCTCATAATTTGTCTCAGGGATAAGAGAGCTGCCATTCAAGAGTCCTGGACTAGGTTCACAATACCCAAAACTTTTTCCTCTGGGAGAAAATGTTTTTGGTTCACCGAATCGATCGGACACCCCAGAAACTTTCTGTATTGGGATGGAACTAACAAGGACTTTTCCAGATTGATCAGCCAACCCAGACTCTCGAGCGTCTCTCTGACTATCCCCAAGTTCAGCAATATTTCCTTTTCTGAAAGGCCGAACAAGAGGATGTCATCCAAATATGGAATTAGGGAAATCGTTTGAAGGTAGAGGTAGGGTACAACCTCTGCAAGAGTCCAAAAGGTAGGGCTCTGAAATGAAAGTGTAGGAACCCCCCCCCTTTGTTTGAAAAGCAAACCTTAGGTACTTCTGGTGTTCTGGAAAAATTGGAACATGGGAGGTACACGTACTTCAGGTCCAGTGTGACCATGAAGACATCTTTCTGCAGGATCTTCCGAACCAAATATATACTCTTCGTTCTGAATAGAAGGTATTTGTTCAATTTCTTTAGGTTCAGGATTAATTTGAACTTCTCTCCTGGCTTGGGTACAAGAAAAATATGGGAATAAAACCCCTGAAATACTTGATCCTCTGGAACTGGGCTAATCACATCCTGAGAAGCAAGATTTGCGACACACTCCTGTAACGCAGCTGCCTTTAAGTGTCCCTTGGCAGAGGTGTCAGGAAAAAAGTTCGAGGAGGGGGATTCTGAAATGCTAACCGAAAACCTAATAAATCTAGTATGAACTGACTGTTATTTTTTTCCCCAATAATGATAAAAAAAGGAGAAAGTCTCCCTCCCACCTTTACCTTGGTGTCATTTTGATTCCTTGATGGAGGAATCAGGAGAAGCAAAGAGCAAACCTCTTTTTTACTTAGGTTTGTCAAACAGCCATCTTTTTCTCTGTTCATGAGGTCTACCACCGAGTCTTTTCTGATCTTGTGGGCCTCGAAAAAACTGATGGCTCGGACCAAAGAGTAACTTCCCTTCAAAGGGTAACCCACACAACTTGGATTTTGAGGAAACTTCACCAGCCCAAGATTTCCACCAGATAGCTCTTCTAGCCGAATTAAGAAGAGCTGCAGATCTAGCCGATGCTCGAACCGATTCAGCCGCAGCATCTGCCAGATATGCAACCACTTTACTCACAACCACCAGAGAATCTATTACTTGTTCTGAAGGGGCTCATTGGCAAACATGCCTCGAAACTCTTTGTAACCATAGGTCTAAATTCCTAGCCACACATGGTCGGGGTCATAGCCGAGGAATTCGTATCCCTTACCTTACGTAACAAGGCCTCTGCCTTGCGATCCTTGCGAAAACTTTTTTAAAGATTGCGCTGTAGCCACCATTTTATTACACATACAAGTCATGAAATCGTGTATAAGGGAGGAGGATTCACTTATCATTAGCTTCTGTATACATTGTTCACAAAGTGGCTTTGAATAAGTGAAAGGTAACTTTATGTTACAACTGCTACAACGTTTCTTGATAGTTTTTAAAGTGGAGGTAGAAGGTGGACCTGCAATCTGGGCTGCTGTCTTATCTCCCAAATGCGCTTCCTAAAAGAGAGAGGCATAAGATACCATATCAGGCAGTAATCAATACAGCCACTGGGAAGGACAAGGGCACCCACCACCTAAGACTGCACCAACAACCCCCACGTCCAAGATGATCACTCCCCGCTACCTCAGACCTGGGCCCAGTCATCGCCGGCTTGATTTCCTCCTCCATGTCAGCCTCGGCGGTGTGCAGCAGCTCCCCTCTGATCCGGACGGTAAGAAACACAATCAAAAACTGAGGGACGAGGGGGGTGGGAGGGGTTTTTAAACTTGTCTAATTGTGCTTCCTGTAGACTGAAGAGCCAATCATCTCTCAGGTTGCTGTCCTGGAAGATGATTGGAGAAAATATAAGTGAAAACTGGTACCATGGCTCATCCTATTACCTATAATAATACTCAGGGGTAGACAAATTCTGGCCCTCCAGTTGTGGTGCAACTACAAATCCTATTAGGCTTTGCAAAACTCTGACACGCCACAGTCATCACTCCCAGAGGCAGCTGCATAATGGGATTGGTAGTTTCACCACAGCTGGAGGGCAGGAGTTGGCCTACCCCTGCTATATGTACTGGTGAATCTTATAGAACAGTTGGATTGGTCTGAAGGATTTGCCCGGACAAGGAATATAATGCATTCAAAACACTCCCATGGACCTTAAACGTCTTAATACTTGCAACGGTAGTCACAGGAACATCAAGCTGCTTGGAGATGGTCTTCAAGCCTCTACCTTCGACATGCTAATCTAGAATTTTCCCTCTGAACTCCTCAACTCTCTACTTTGGTTTCTGTATTCCTTTCCGGGTGAGGTACACACAATGATACCCAACAGCAGTGACTACTTTTCTCTGCTTAAGGCATCATTCACACGAGAAACGGGCAGCCCGTACAGATTCGTGCGGCGTGCATGGCCGTATTGGGCCGCTCCCGGGAAGGACAGGTGCTGCAGCCTGGCCTTCTCTATGGGAGTACGGGGCCGTATACCGCCCTACGCTCACCCGACCTGCACGTCGGTACGGGTGTCCCTGCTCAGATGCTGACAGGATCCATCCTGTCATCGTACGAGTACGGACACCCGCACAGACGTGCAGTTCGGGTGAGCGTAGGGCAGCGTACGGCTACTTACTCCCATAGAGAAGGTTAGGCTGCTGCGTGTAAATCACACGCAGCACCTGTCGTTCCCGGGAGCGACCAGATGCGGCCGTGCATGAAGCACAGATCTGTGCGAGCCGCCTGTTTCTAGTGTGAATGAGGGTTAAACATGCTGACCCTGACAGATTACAAGATTGAAGACATGTGTGATACTAACTATAGAAAACAGTTAGTTTGAAATATCACTATGACCCAATTATTTATAATCTGAACAAAGCTGCCCAGGCCATTTTAGAAAATCTTTTATGTATAAGTAATAATTTATCTTTTTTTCACACTCTATGACATACCACAGACATGCATCATCACTTTTTAGGATGAATGAAGCATTGTTTCAATGAGCTGTAAGGGTACCAACAAATGTATTCATGTCTTTATAGCCACACAGGATGGACCTGCTCCATAATAACACTCATGTTTTTTAAATGGGTGTCCAATAAATTCACATAGGTGTGATGGTCAGATGTCCACACACATTTGATCATATAGTTTCTATGGTTCTTTAGGAGAATCATTGTATGTGTCTCATACCATTTGTCATTCTAAGCATATGGTAAAAAGAAAATGAATGATACTTCCTAGCACTATAAGGACAGCACAATAGATTGTGGACTCTGTATCCTTTTCCTACATTCTCTACCAGAATGATTAGGAAGCTGGTTCTGATAGAAATCTACATATAAGCTTAGATTAAACAAGCATCTAACTACTTGTATGTTGACATTTACCTTCACCTCCAAGATGTTTAAGTACTGAGCCAGCCACCACAACAGTGGGTGGAGGAGAGTTAAGTGTACCAGCTGCCTGGGCCTGTACCCAAGGTGGAATGGTAGAATAATACTCAGAGGGGACATTGGGGTTTGGACTAGGAGCAGTTGGGCTCATCATCCTCTTAATAGCCTGAACTAAAGGAAGGAAAAAAAATAGATAACATATCGGGAATCACTAGCTGGCTGCTGAGAAACAGTGGAAGAAATAGTTCACCCACAAAGACAGGAAGAAGTGAAAGAGTCAGGACCAAAGGATTTCTACCTAAACACCCAACAAAGAGCACACACAGATATTTGTGGATCGTGAGCACACAAGACAGGACAATTTTCCCAGGTAGACTGGCTCATTAACTTTTAGGGGTAATTCAAGAGGAACTCCAGTCAAAACTTAATCAGCAATGTTTTGTGGAAATTTACCGGTGACCAGTTCCTGTTTTAAGATTTGCTATTAGGCAGAACAATTTGGCCATTCTCGCACAGGTGCTGGATTTAGAAACTCGGCCGATGCCCATGTTACTTTAGTCAGCACTCTGCCTTAGTTTGAAGGTTGTAAACAATGTTCAGGTCAATGCACTAAAGGGACTACGTTTCCCTAAAGGTTTTACTTGGTAGACCCATATGGACCTGGTGTTCGGGGAAGGTTGCTCTCAGCAAGAGTCATCCCGTGGCTCCTTAACAAACACTAGTGTGACAACTACCTAACAGTGTCACACCGTCTTCAAACTACAGAAACTTTGAGATTCTGACAGTGTTAATAACCAATTGGTCGGTGGAAAGTTAAAAATGAAAGCATACACCAATAAGTAACATTTCAATTTCCTGTTCCAACAACCGGCAATTTAATGAAAGGGTGATTCATTGTGAATTCTGATTACTACAAATGAACATAGCTACTTTAAACTAGTTTCTAACCTTCAGTAAAAATCTTTTTATACCTCATGTCAAGTACCCAGGACTTAGTGTTCTAAAACTAAACTGACATTTTTGTTATGACAAGAGTCCCCCTTAAAGAGTGTAAGCAGAAGATTGCTCTAACGTTTACTATCCAAATACAGTTGAGCCTCAAAGTGTACAATCTTTGCTACTAAGATGTTCAGTTATTGGTTATCACGTTCATTTTCCAGAATGATCAAAATGTATTTATATTTCCCTGAACATATTAAATAGGGTATTTACAAAGGTACAAGCTATCCTTTAATCGGTTCAGCTACCCCGGCTGAGTGCAGACCACCTGTTTGTACTCTGTTCAACCGGGTGCCACCGAAATTTGCTTCTAAAAATTTCTTCAGCCTGAGCCCACACAACGTGGCCACGTTCATTACTATGAGGAGTCATACTCTTGACGGCCTTCAGTGTTCCTGCAGAGTGCTCTCCACATAGGAATGAATAGGGTCACAACAGGCATGTGCAGGCTGAAGACATTTTCAGAAGCAAATGGGCACATGGGGCCACGTAAAGAACATTGATGGTTCAAGGATGAAGGCGAGTATCTGACCATGTGAACTGTACTTGGTGGGGGTGGCTGCATTCATTAAAGGACAACTTGTACCAAATGTACAGTTGTCCTTTAAATAAATAGCTACTTAAATATTTCTAGGGCTTATTGTACAACATAACATTGAATATTATCATAGATCAACCATCTTTTAAAACACTGTGCTGGCCGGGAAAGTTACATGGTTAAAGAAGTCAATGAGCCAATCAGTATGGGAAAAGTTAGTGGAAAACCGACAGGAGAATCAGAAGGCACCCACGGACCCCAAATGCTAAGCACTGCTATGCCACAAGTAAGTGTTAATGAGAAGCAGTCTCCTATAGTGAGAGCAGCTGTAAGAAACCAGCAAGTCATGCTACTAACCTCTGGTGATGGCGCTATTGCAAATCACACAGACTCTTGCTTCTTTTTCCAAGTACTGCAATTTACACTTCTGACTGCAACAGACAGAACAAAAAACCTAGAAAAGCAAAACCGGGAATATAAACAACTTACTGTAAAAGAGAATATATGAGACTTCAGAAGGCAAATACAATAGGTGCCTTTAAAGCCTGATTGAACCTCCAGTTTAAATCAACTAAATGCATTCCAGGTGCATCAAAACAAAAGGTGTTCAATGTTCTGTCTAGAAAGCAGCCACAGCCTGAGTAGAAAAGCCTGCCACTGTCAGCTTTCTGCAGAGAAGGACTTTTGGAGTAGTCTCTTTGCAGAGGTACGGCACGTCCCCGGCTTCCCTGATTGCAGAGCAATAGGTCTGACTCAGCTTGGTCTGTGTTGGATTTTTGCAGATATCTCACTGTCCACACAGAAAGCAAGGGTCCTTCTCCGCAGCATGCTGGCCGGGACAGGCTTTGTTTACTCAGGCCGGGGCTGCTGCTAAAGAAAAATACTATTGTACGATTTAGGGAGGCACCGAAATTTCTGCCGAAAATGGTACTTTGCCGAAAGTTTAATTTTAGGGGGCCTGGAGGGGAGGAGAGCGCCGTCAGCGGCGGTGTCACAGTTGGCCGAGCTCTCCTCTCAGAGAGTGGTGCGGGGAGACACAGCTGTCACAGGAGTCTGAGCCGGTGGTGCAGGGGAGGAGTCAGCGGTGTCACAGGAGACCAAGCTCTCCTCCCGCACCGCCCGCTCAGCCTCTTGAGTCAGGATGGTTGCAAGCGATCAGTACCGATTGCCGAGTGCTTGTAAATAAATGAAGACATAGAGTATGTTTACTGTGTTCCCAATTATGAATGAACAGGAAGCGTTCTTACTCATACAATATCCAACATTTATGAATGGACAGGAGCATGCACTATAGAGGATTCCGGTTCATTTATAACTGGGGCTGCAGAAAAAGAGATTGAGGACTCTGTGTTCTCAATCTCTTTTTCTATTTCGAAACAGAAATATCAGGGGTCTGTTTAGACCCGATATTTCCCCAGAGCCCCCGACAGTAAAAGTAAAAAATAAATAAATACAATTAAAATATAAAAAAATTATTTAAAAACGGTTAGAACAAAATTATTTTTGGTTTCAGCCTGACAAAATTTTTATTTTCGGTTTCAGTCTGAAAATTCCATTTCGGTGCACCTCTGGTTTGATTCACTGATATTTGTAATCAACTAAACCAGCTTAAAGAAGGATTAAAGAGAAATGTACCCAGATAAGAAGCAATCTCTTCTCTGGTGCTGAGATATAAGCTGAACACCAAGCAAAATGGCTAATATGCAACTGAAACACACATATGAACTTTTGTTAAAATGCCAAAGGATTTTTAAATCTGGTAAATAGGTCTTGTGATCCAGCATGATGCAGGTGGAGCTCACAACAACAGCATACAAACAGCCTTCATCAAAAGCGCTCACATTTACCCTTTTATTGCACCCAAATCCTCCACGGTGGGCTGACACTTGGAATAGTGACTTTGAAGTAATCAGCTTCCTCTATGTAAAACTTTGGCCTTTCATTTAAAAACATGTGTGCTGCAGCACTAAATTATAAGTGCATCTGGATTGTTCTCTCCTGCCAGTGAAGTCCTCCTAATGCAACTTCCTGTGATAAGGTGGCAACAATGCTGCACTGCCACTGAATTCAGATAAGTGTTCTCATTGTCATGTAGGCTGTGTCGGCTTCTTGATGAACAGTGCGGCTGTTGGCACCCTTTCAGCTGTCAACCCTCGATCAGCTGATTGAAGGAGCCGCCTCCGTTCGGGTACACTGACGGCGGCCGTCAGAATACAATGAAAACACCTGGAGATTCCTCGATGAGCATTCATAAGCATTGATAGAGAAATCTGTTCTATTTCCTACCTTCAGCCCACAGGCTGAACAAAGAAAATATTACAGTGAATGGCCAGCTTTTTAATACAGTGGGATGAGAAGATGTTGTAGGGGATGTGACTATTGCCATCGTCACTGCTGATTCACAAGCCTGTCATTCTGCACCTGGTCACATCTAGTCCTGCCCACTGCTTTCTGGGTTGACTGAAACTGTGCCATTGTGAGCTGCATAAAGGAGGATTTGGCAGAAAGTGTAGGTAAAGTAAAAATGTTTGTTTACTTTATGAGGCTTGTGCACCACATACTGAAGTACCTGGATTTGGGTCTTTAGAAGTACTTCAAAAAAGCTAAAAGGACTTAGATTATACATTCTAGGAGTCCTCTCCTGCTGAGCCCACATGTGCAGATGGGATCTGCTGTCAGCTTGACAGCCAAAGTCTTGGTCTGTATATCAGAGCTGCTATTACTGGATACTTTAGCACTGAGTGGTAAAAACAGCAATGTCTCCACAGTGTATGTTATAGTAGATGTAAACTGTAAATGAAGGAACTTTAGTTTGCTAAAGCTCTGTGAGGGGAATTTATCATAACTGAGGAAACAAAATCTGAAACAGCTGTGCATGGCAACCAATCAGCTTCTCTCTTTAGTCTGTTCAGCTTAGATTTGAAAATGAAAGAAAGAAGCTGATTGCTGTGCACAGCTGCTGTAGATTTTGTCTGCTCCAGTTCCGATAAATTCCCCTCTGTGTATGTTACACAACTGACATTATATTTGTATGAAACACTTGTTTTCACCTTTTTGTTTCATACATTTCAGCACTGGGGATCTCCAGTAGCCTCTTTGCAGTCACTTCCTGTCTACAACCAAGCAGTCCAAAAATTGTTTCATGCCATTACTTTACAGTGATTTTAGTATCCATTAAAAGCCTGTGTGATAGGGTGACAATACAGAAGCACGATAGGGAGACAGTTACAGAGCATTGTCACCCTATAACATGGACTGCCTGAACAAGACAAGCAAGTGTTCTTTTAAAGAAAGCTACAGATTTAAAAATACTGAAAAGTACCATAACAAAATGTGAAGTAATGTGATGTTTATTGAAAGAAGAATTTCGGGGGGAAATTGTATTAACCCTTGCAGTTTGGCTACTCCAGCACTACCAGCGTTAACTGCTCATTTGTGTATAGGTGCTAAAAAAAATTGGAGTTATACTCACCCAATCATTGGAGCTTACTTGTTCATACACCGGTCCCTAGAACCATTCTACCCCCCTCTGCAGTGGTCTAAGAATCCTTGTGTTAACATGTCCTATACAAGTGTATAGACGTGAGGACGCTGAGAAACATTCCACCTGTGCTGCAAAAGGAGGAGGCACACTTCAGTGACTGGAGAAGCATGGAGTTGGCTCCACAGTTCAGGTGAGAATATCTTTTTTTTTTAGCACCTAGACAAAAATGAGCAGTTAACCCTTGCAGTGGGGGGTAGCCCCACTACAAGGGTTAATACAATGTAATGCTTATAAGAGATTTTAGTGATCGTGTTTAGATCTACCATACATTTCCTTTTATTACCTTTTTGATAAAAAGAATAACAACATTTCTGACATGAGTTGTAAGTACCTTTAAGTTTGCATTGTACAAAGTAATACAATAAAACAAGGCCATCTTACCTTTCCACAAGCTCTACAATGATGTCTCCTCTTTGTGAACGTGAACTTAATGCTGCAATTCATACAGTTAGGAGCCTCGGAGTCAGGGATCCAGGTTGGCTGTCTGTGGCCGGGAGCCGGATTTTCTCCTGTTCCCTCCTCAGGTTTCCCGGGCACCTCCACACTCATCTCAGGGCTCTCATCAGACTCCACATTCATTGTTTTTTTCAGAATGCTGTTACTGGGAATTGGTGAAACAATATCAGAAGGCGAGTCGTAGGGACTGGCTTCTTCAGCTGTTCGTTCAGCCAGATTTCCTTCTACATCCCTGTTGTGGAGTTTTCCTGGCCGGCTTAAATTCAGAGAATTTGGTGGATGATGAAACAACTGCTTGGGCCTTGCACCTCCGATGGGTGAAGGCACGCTAGCACCTGGAAGAGCTCCTTCCTCCAGAGCTGGGTGTAATGAAGCAGCGTTATTATTAGTGACATCCACAGTTCTGCAGACTGTGCTGTCCTCAGTCTCATTTTGGTCTATCTTCAAAGACTGCAATTCATCACTTAAAGCTTCAGTTCTAGGCCCACTTGAAATTGCGTCAGCACAATCATAGGCTGGGAAAGTTCCCACAGCACTTTCATTACTTAGATGTAAACCTTCCTCACTAAGAAAAGCATCAAGTTCAGCATCTGTTATATATGTGTCACCTAACAATAGGTCATTAGGATCAGTTAGCAAACCGTGACTCATAAAATCTGATAATACCGCGTCTCCAAATTCACTCTTGTGAACTGGATCAGGGCCCGGCTTAGGTGCAATGCTGGATTTTTCTACTGCAGGTAATTCAGGTTGCTGCGACAAAACTTCCTCCGGTACAAGCTCTTCATAGGGTACAGGAGGCCCTTTGGCTACAGGTGACATATGTGACTTATCTTCATCACTTATCTCAAAGCTCGCCGTTGATACACTCATGGATTCATCTTCCAAATTTTGGGCTGCTAACACTTTATCCTTGTGTTCATCAAGCAGCTCACTTTTGCCTTTTATCATAGAGTCTACTATAACAGAGCTAGAAGAGTCCATGGGCTTTTCTCCACTACAGACAGATAAGGCTGACGTAACAGACATGTCATCATTGCATTCTGAGGTCATCATGCTTTTGGCTATAGATGGCCCTGAGGCTGAACATTCGTTGTAATCATCTAAAGCGCTAGAATTTACAACATGCTGGCTTGGGGTCATTGTGACTTCCTGGCTTGCTACTTGAGGAAATTCCATGGTATTCAGAGCATACACCACATCTACATGATGCTCTTTTGACACAACATTAATTTGATCTTCGGGTAATGCCTCATAGGACAGATCATCACTTACATATCCATCTGTGCTTGAAGAACTTGAGCTACTACTGGAGTCACTAGTGGACGCAGTATCAGAGGGTTCTCTCGCCTCATCCACGATGGGGGTTAGACCTGAGTGAACAGGAAGAGTAGTGCTGCTTGCTTTGGCACTAATATCAAGAAGATTGGCTTCACTCAGTGGTAGCCAGTTAGAATTAATAGGAACAAGATCTCCAACATCTGCATCTTCATTTTGTAATAGAGTGGAGGGATTTGAAGGTGAAATAGCAAAAAAACTTGGGTCAGAAAGCAACTCAAGGTCAGAAACAAGATTTCCACTAGACTGGGTGGAATCTGGGATCAATGACTCACTGCTACTTGCTGCATGAAGTAAACTGCCCGTGTCACTAATGAGATCACATATAGGAACACTACTCCTCCCAGTATTTGACTCATCTTCTATGGATGTTCCTCCATCCACACAGGATAAGAGATCTGGGCCTGTTACACTTTTGTCACTGCATGAGACAGGAGCCCCTGGCTTTAACTCCAAAATATTTTCCTCTGGGCATTCAGATAGAGAGAGTGGAGGACCACTATCACATGGCTCCTTCCCAGGACTTGGGTAATCTGGTTGCAGGTAGAAGTCATGCTGGTCTGGGTTAAAGGGCTCCTCACGTGGCTGGTAGTTTTCCAGTTCATCTGGGGAAAAATAAAAAGAGATTAAATTCATATCTAAAAAATGTGCCATATTTCTAAACTTCTAGAAAATCTTGAAAACCTGTGTCACATTGTGCAATACACATTCACTCATAAAGATAAATTCCTATGATTTATTAAAGGCCAGATATGGTTTCCTAACCCAAGCAGTAGGGCTGCAACAACTAAATCGATTATTGAAAAAGTTGTCAACGTTTTCAATCATCGATTAATCGGCTTCCGATTGGTTGGCCCTCATCACGGCTCCACACACGCTGCGCGCCACACCTCCTCCCTGCCTCACGCTCGCCGCTGCCAGACCCTCCCGACCGCATCCACACGCCGCACCTCCTACCCGCCTCACGCTCACCGCCCACCCACAATCGACACAGGGACGCGGGGAGAAGAAGTAAGGAGAAGCAGGTGTGGGGGGATGACAGTCGCCGATACACAGGCCCGATCTCAGAAGCAAGTTGCTGGAAGACTGCTCACGTAAGCCTGCACTTTCCCCCCCACATAGTGCTCTATAATGTATTGCAGGGATTTGTATTCCTCTATAGCTGATGGTACATTGTGCTGTATATTATACAGAGCAATGTACCATCAGCTACAGAGGAATACAAATCCCAGCAATACTTTATACATTGTGTGTATAATGTATTGCTGGGATTTGTTGTATTCCTATATAGCTGGTGGTATTCTGCATTGTGCTGTATAGAGGACTACAAATCCCAGCAATACATTATACAGCGCAATACCACCAGCTATAGAGGAGTACAACAAACCCCAGCAATAATACATTATACAGTGGTGCAATGCCGAATACCACTTGCTATAGAGGACTACAAAACCCAGCAATAGTACATTATACAGCGCAATGCAGAATACCACCAGCTATAGAGGACTACAAAACCCAGAAATAGTACATTATATAGCGCAATGCAGAATACCACTAGCTATAATGTACTATTGCTGGGATTTGTTGTATTCCTCTATAGCTGGTGCTATTTTGTATTGCGCTGTATAATGTACTATTGCTGGGATTTGTAGTCCTCTATAGCCGGCGCCATTCATTGCTGTATAATTTTACACATTCCATTTCACTATATTGCACACCACACTTTTTTCTTTTCTTTTATACTTCCACTGCTCAAAGCTTGCTCCTGTGATGGACTACAATCTCAAAACAAACTAGTAGTCCATCACTGGAGTCATTTTTTAAAATGTATTTTATTTTTATCCGATTAATCGAACATAATAATCGACTAACTAATAAATTTTGAATATAATCGTTAGCTGCAGCTCTACCAAGCAGCATGTTAAACTTTCCCTTACCGTCTAAGAAAATCAATAAATGCTGAGAACTCATCTAATAAGTGCAAGCTGTGCCCTCATCATATGTATTGCATTCAAATACCTCAGTACAGAAAAGGTTATTTTGGAACTCCAAAATAACAGCTAAATTCATGGTTCAAACCCCTGCAACATGTATTATTTTCCTTGCCAAAGGATTTGTACACGTATGTAGTCTGGTGATACGGTCATCACTATAATCAGATCACTCAGCTACTTCCTGGTTTAAAAGAGACCCTGTCTCTACGTTATTTACTATAGGTTGAACACATGAAGTAAAAGTAGGCATTTAGCACTTATTGTTACTGTTTTGTATCAGTCTGTTCTTGAACTTTCCAGAAATGTTTTCTATTATGAGCTACCTCCATCACTTGAACGCTGGCAGTCACATGAGTGGATTGTTTACAATTGTATTATACAGAGCGGGCACAAGGTAGATGGAAGCCTTGGCAGGTCCCCAAACACCGTCTTGCGCGTGACTTCCCATTCAGCTCCTTCAGCCCTGGTGAGGTCAGGATAGAGGGTGAGGGTGGTGGGTTGAAGTGTAGAAGGTAGCTCAGAATTGAAATAGAGATTTAAAAAACAGGGGGGTAAAGCAAGTTATAAATACCTGCATGTGTTCAACCTACAGTGTGCAATGTGATGACAGGGGCTCTTTACTGGGCCAGCTACCAGCTCATTAGAGAGGAATCATCCTGATTCACTGGCCAATTCAGAGGAATGGAGGCGATATAGATGGCTGAATGGTTGAACCAGGCAAATGAAAAGAAAAGCATATGTATATCAGCTGTGTACGTAGTCTGGATCAGAAACTACTAGTGATAAGCAAACCAGACTGGGTTCGCTTTGCTTGGACATTCACCAAACCAGCCAGAAACCCGGGTTTAGCAAAAGTTCAAGTGAACCAAACCCAGGGCCGCCTGTGTCCTAGCAACCAATCACGCTGTGCAACCTGCACAGCACCATTGGTTGCTAGGATGCTAACAGTTGGGCTGCACAGCAACATTAGCTCCTAGGATACAGGTGGGCGCATCATAACAACCAGTGACACTATGGGGAGGCCTGTGTCCTAGCCCACTGTGTGACCTGATGAAGGGACCGCAGCACACAAGGAGGGACACAGCCAAAAATTCTGTGTATAACCTCTTTACATCAGCTCTAGCTTACTCGTTACTTCACACACCTGTACTCTGTTCAAAATCATCAAGCAGTTTATCCAGATCTATGACTGCAGCTTGAAAGTAATTATCCATCTTCGAAAAGATACTTATTGTATTATCCGATCCTAAAAGAAAAAGAAAAGATGAAACACTTTGTAACAGAATAACTTCGCAACAATAGATCTAAATGTAATAGTGTCATTTTGGCCACAGAAGTAAGTGAAGTGTGGGACATTATTTGTGGAGAGCAGGAAAGAGTGTTGGAAATTCTGAGCCACAAACCCATCACTGATCAACCTGTATGTCTGTGAAGATTCTCATTCATCCAGGTCAGGGTATATCTGTAAAAAAAATAAGTCAAGGCAATTGGACTGGCTGTATTTTTTCTGGAGGACATTTTGCAGGTCATTTGACTAGCTTTCTCAATTCTGAATTGAGAAAGCTAGTTGGGTGACCAGCGAAACGTCTTCAAGAAAATAAAAATACAGCAAGCCCAGTTGCCTCGATTTATTTTTTTACAGATTGACCAACCTGTACCCAACAAAAGATATTGATCTTTTTAATGTGTCATACAAGCTGTTGACTGAGAAAGTCAAGGCAGCTTTGATTAATCATAAACTAAATGGTTTAGCTGTAGGTTTAACCAACCCCCCTCTAGATAACTAACAGAGAAATTCTGTAGAATGTAACTTTTCATGCTATCTCCATTAACAGTGTATTGGCAGTGGTGCGGTGTGAACCTCATTGGCCTAGCTATACAATGTGTGTAGAGCTGCAGCTAACGATTATTTTCAAAATCGCCTAAATGTGTGAATGCTTTTTTTAAATCAGCCCCATAGGCTCATTCATAGGCTGTTTTACAATAATTAGCCAAACGCTGAACATAGGAAGTCTAAAATGTTGTCTTACGCTGCTAGAAAAATTATGAGATGTGGCTCATGTTTTATGGACATGCAACTTGTTTTGAAGGGCATTAACCTGTGTGCCAGATCAGTCTGAAATAATCATTGAAAATCAGTGAACAACACAGAATAAAAAAATAACTGACCACACAAAGAAGAGCAATCAATGATCGTGTGCCGACTTACCAGCATGCTCAGTGACTTTACTAATCAATGATGACAATAAAACGGTAGTTTTTGTGGGATTAGCAGTAATGCCAACTGCAACAACCCTTCAATTCTTATTTTAATGGCGTCAGATCATCGCAGGTTTCTGTTCAATGTACTGGTTCTGTTGGATGAGCCATTACCATGATAATTCTTTATGAGCCACACTTATAGAAAAGAACAGTTGTATTCTGAAGCAGCCCTTCTCTCAGAAAAACGACATTGCCTCATTGTATTCCTTCCCCCTCCGCAGTATGAAAACACAGACTTTTGTTTCTATATGTGTACCTTACCTGATGTGGCACGGGATGGTTTGTTCACTGGAAGAGCGGCAGAGGACAAGAGGTCAAAGCTGGACTCACTGGGCTTGTGAGTAGGGATGAACTTTAGGTTCGGGTCAACCAGTAAATTCATCCGAAACCAAACTGTTTGTGTTTCACCCAATGAAACAGAATTTGGCCTGTTCACCCATCTGCCAACCCCACATCTGTGTCCAAGCAACCAGTAATGCTATGTGGCCCGTGGTCGAGTGGTGGACACTCAGCAGGATATGTGGGGGGCTTTCAGAATCTGTGGTGGGTTTTGCAGGATCCATAGGGGGCTCTGCAGCCTGCTAAGACCCCCTGAGATCCGGCAGATTGCAGGGTCTCTGCAGGATCCGTAGGGGGCTCTGCCCACCATAGACCTCACCACAGATCCTGCACAGCCCCCCTGAGACCACAGCTTTCCTGCTACGCTAATAGTGGAACATGTCAAAAGCTGGACACAGCGTGTGCACTGTATCCAGCAACTGACAGGTTACGAAAAAGTATTAAAGAGGAAGGGGTGGGGGAAATATAGTGGGGGACGTCTGAGATTTGCCTTGCCTAGGGGAGCCCCAAACCAGAATACACCACTGACAACAGCCTGTACAATGATAAAGCAGTTAGTCTTCCATACAGAAGTGATGACATGGGTGATATTGTGAGTGCAGTGATCAGATGACACAGATCGGTGTACCAGCACAGGACATGCCGCAGCTCCTCGCTCTTGCGGCTTCTAATATACAAACGTGTTGTCATGATTTACGGTATTATGTGATGTGTACTGCACGGAAGGTCATTGGTCTATGGACAGACACAGGAAGGCAGCTCTGGCCCCTAATTGGCTGCCTGCTCCCCCAGCAGCGTAATGCTCAGATACAATGCGAGCCCCGCTCACCTCCGGCGTTACCCCGGGCTCATCCTGTGTTGTCCTCCTGGTGTCTGCGGTTCCCCCCTCTCTCAGGATCCTTTCACCCCTGACGTGACGTCTCTCCTCCCTGTCACGTGCCAGAGTAAAACCGATGTTGAGTCACATGGGAAGGGTGGGCGTTCTTTTCGGCTCAGGTGACCCGGAGAAGTGTCATGTGGTGGGGAGCAAAACCGCTGGACGCCATGTTTGTTGTGGGCGAGATTAATACGTACGACTTTACGCATTTGCTTGGCAAAGTTGTGGATGTGCTCCCGTCATCAGTGGCCAGTGTAACATTCTAGTTATTCAACTACCCTCCATTTGGAATTATTAAATTGGTTGGGGCTTTTAAGGTATCCCACATCACTCAAAACCAGACAATTATAAAAGGAATACAAATACAATAATTATTGTTACATGAACATAAAACTGCACATAATAAAATCCAGTTTAAACCATCCCTTGACAGAAGCAAAGCATACTCCAATGAGATCTTCCATTATATCATCATCATTATTATTATACGTGATTTATATAGCTCCAACAGTTTGCGCAGCGCTTTACAATCGAGGGAAGACATAATTACAATACAATTCAAGACAAGATGGTAAGGAGAGCCCTGCCCCTGAGGGCTTACAATCTATATCATACAACAGAGGCTTAGGTAAGTTCAAAATGTCACATCTGTATTTCATATATATATGTAGGGTTGCCACCTTTTCTTCAAGCTAAACCCAAACGCTCTAGCGTCGCGCAAAAAATTGTTTTGATGGGAGAGCGAGCAGAGACAGCCCAGAGAGAGAGAGCGATTTAACGGAGGTTTTCTCAGTGACTACCAATGTAACAGGTATATACACTGACCAGCAATGTTATAGAGGTATATACACTGACCAGCAATGTAACTGAGGTACATACACTGACCAGCAATGTAACTGAGGTACATACACTGACCAGCAATGTAACAGGTATATACACTGACCAGCAATGTAACTGAGTACTGACCAGCAATGTAACTGAGGTATATACACTGACCAGCAATGTAAGTGAGGTACATACACTGACCAGCAATGTAACAGAGGTATATACACTGACCAGCAATGTAACTGACTACTGACCAGCAATGTAACTGAGGTATATACACTGACCAGCAATGTAACAGAGGTATATACACTGACCAGCAATGTAAAGGAGGTATTCTCACTGACCAGCAATGTAACGGAGGTATTCACACTGACCAGCAATGTAACGGAGGTATTCACACTGACCAGCAATGTAAAGGAGGTACAGTATAAACACTGACCAGAAATGTAACAGAGATATTTACACTGACCAGCAATGTAACAGAGGTATATACACTGACCAGAAATGTAACGGAGGTATTCACACACTGACCAGCAATGTAATGGAGGTATTCACACTGACCAGCAATGTAATGGAGGTATTCACACTGACCAGCAATGTAACGGAAGGTACATACACTGACCAGCAATGTAACTGAGGTACATACACTGACCAGCAATGTAACAGGTATATACACTGACCAGCAATGTAACTGAGTACTGACCAGCAATGTAACTGAGGTATATACACTGACCAGCAATGTAAGTGAGGTACATACACTGACCAGCAATGTAACAGAGGTATATACACTGACAAGCAATGTAACTGACTACTGACCAGCAATGTAACTGAGGTATATACACTGACCAGCAATGTAACAGAGGTATATACACTGACCAGCAATGTAAAGGAGGTATTCTCACTGACCAGCAATGTAACGGAGGTATTCACACTGACCAGCAATGTAACGGAGGTATTCACACTGACCAGCAATGTAAAGGAGGTACAGTATAAACACTGACCAGAAATGTAACAGAGATATTTACACTGACCAGCAATGTAACAGAGGTATATACACTGACCAGAAATGTAACGGAGGTATTCACACACTGACCAGCAATGTAATGGAGGTATTCACACTGACCAGCAATGTAATGGAGGTATTCACACTGACCAGCAATGTAACGGAGGTATATACACTGACCAGAAATGTAACGTAGGTATATACACTGACCAGAAATGTAACGGAGGTATATACACTGACCAGCAATGTAACGGAGCTATATACACTGACCAGAAATGTAACGGAGGTATTCACACTGACCAGCAATGTAACAGAGGTATTCATACTGACCAGCAATATAACGGAGGTATTCCTACTGACCAGCAATGTAATGGAGGTATATACACTGACCAGAAATGTAACAGAGGTATTCACACTGACCAGCAATGTAACGGAGGTATTCACACTGACCAGCAATGTAACGGAGGTATTCACACTGACCAGCAATGTAACGGAGGTATTCACACTGACCAGCAATGTAACGGAGGTATTCACACTGACCAGCAATGTAACGGAGGTATTCACACTGACCAGCAATGTAACGGAGGTATTCACACTGACCAGCAATGTAACGGAGGTATTCACACTGACCAGCAATGTAACGGAGGTATTCACACTGACCAGCAATGTAACGGAGGTATTCACACTGACCAGCAATGTAACGGAGGTATTCACACTGACCAGCAATGTAACGGAGGTATTCACACTGACCAGCAATGTAATGGAGGTATACACACTGACCAGCAATGTAACGGAGGTATATACACTGACCAGAAATGTAACGTAGGTATATACACTGACCAGAAATGTAACGGAGGTATATACACTGACCAGAAATGTAACGGAGGTATTCACACTGACCAGCAATGTAACAGAGGTATATACACTGACCAGCAATGTAACGGAGCTATATACACTGACCAGAAATGTAACGGAGGTATTCACACTGACCAGCAATGTAACAGAGGTATTCATACTGACCAGCAATATAACGGAGGTATTCCTACTGACCAGCAATGTAATGGAGGTATATACACTGACCAGAAATGTAACAGAGGTATTCACACTGACCAGCAATGTAACGGAGGTATTCACACTGACCAGCAATGTAACGGAGGTATTCACACTGACCAGCAATGTAACGGAGGTATTCACACTGACCAGCAATGTAACGGAGGTATTCACATTGACCAGCAATGTAACGGAGGTATTCACACTGACCAGCAATGTAACGGAGGTATTCACACTGACCAGCAATGTAACGGAGGTATTCACACTGACCAGCAATGTAACGGAGGTATTCACATTGACCAGCAATGTAACGGAGGTATTCATACTGACCAGCAATTACCTTGAAATTATTGAGATTTCTAAATTAGCATAGAGGCAATATTTTCTGGATTAGTATCTGGATTAGTAGATTTGTTTCACTTTTTTTTCCTGCAATGCCTCTTGAAAGTAAATATAAAACAAATCCCAACTCCCAAATTTTATATCTAAAAATGGTCCTTTCCAGATATTTTAGGGCTGCAAAAAGGCATGAGTGAGCTATACAGTATGTCTGTTAGCCACACACACTGACAGATAAAGGTGATACAAGAAGAAGAACAGCTGAAAAACCTTTCCTGCGCCAAGACACTGCCAGAATGCCGGACTGTACCACCTTCTACAATGGGGGGGGGGGGGGGAATAAAAATTTTCGTTACAC